CGACTGTGGGCTCGGTGGAGGAGTTGATAGAGTGGTTTGAGGGACCACGGTTTCGTCTTCATCAACCAGACATTGCTCAGTTGGAGTAGTCCGGGCACGCTTTCTTTGGCGGGATGATGAGGGTTGATGAGATGGAAGGGCAACCACGGTCTCTTGAGGTTGACCGGCTGGAGGTACCTCGATTGGGTTTGTTTCGGTGAGAAGGGCTCGCACGGCTCTCTTTTTGGCCATTTCTTGTTCGGCAGTAAGTGGGATAAGGTTGATTTGAGGCAAGGATGGGTCCGGTTCAGGAGAGGCTTCTAGCAGGAAGTCAGTTACCTTGGTCCTTCGTTTTCCACTATATCGGTAGGTCGGTTCAAAATTAAGCAGGTCAGTCTAACTCCGGTCTGGATATCGCAACGCGGCGCGAAGCACGTTCAAGTTGGGGTAGCTGTATTAGGACTTAAGAAAGTCCCTATCTGCAAGAAAGAAGACAACAATTAGTTTGGTTCACAATCAGAAAATCGAAATAACAAGAAGAATGCAGTAAAGCCGGGGTAACCCTACCGACTACACCCTTGTTCCAGTTTATTCTGTGGCTTGGGATCTGAGCTTGGAGATCTTCAAAATTTCCAGATACCCAGAAAAAATCATCATCGTTCAAGTCTTTGTCCGGTGTCTCCTTTATTATTTTTTCACGCCGGCGCTTTATTCATAAGTAGTAAACCCAGCCATCTTCGGCTGATCCTATGGAATACTGGTGGAAGAGCTCGGCAAGACCAAGGTTAAGGCCAGCTCAGCGGTTTAGCTCGGCTATTCCGTTTATTGTGCGGTAAGAATTGGTGGAAAGTTGGGTAGGGCAGAGTTTGGTTTGCCTGAGGAATTCACAGAGTAAGGGCTGTACTGGGAAGCGTAGACCGCACTCCACAATGGAAATAACATTAAAAGGGACAAAACCCTGTTTACCCCAAGGAACAGTATCTAGGTCGGCTAAGGTGAGGTGAACATCGTCAGGGATGTTATAATCCTTTCGGAATTCAGCCATACCACCAGGTGTGTTTACTAAATACCTATACTTTCCCAATATGGTTTAAGTTATGAATAAATTATACTTGGGTGTTAGCTCGGTCGAAGGACAATGCCGAGTAGCTCGGTTGAGCGCTCAAAGGAGTGCCTGGGCAGCCTAAGTCTGCAAAGTGAAAAACAAAGGTGTTAAGCACAGATCATTGGACCATGCTAAAAGAAACACAGGCAAGTTAAAATGAAGTCCTAGCTCGGCTATGAGAATTGCTTCTGTTTTAGCTCAGTTTGAGGAATGGGTCTGTTAGCTCAGTGTGAACAAGGGATTTGTTAGCCCGGTTAAGCCTCTAGAGGCAGCATTCTTAGTTTGGTCTGAACTAAGAAAGCTGGTTCCCCAAGTTGTAGCTCGGTCATGGTTGAAACTTTCAAGCACACTTGCGCAGACTTAGTACGGTTTGTTAGCCCGTCTAAGTTAAAACAAAAGATGGTTTAACTTGTCGAAACTACTTGTATAGCATGAAGAGTTAGTTCGGTTGGTTAGTCTAGCTAGACTGACATCGGCTGCAAATAACTTCCTAGTTCGGTTACATATGATTTTGGATCGAAACCAGTGTTTCTCAGGTTATTTCGTAAGTTCAAGTGATTTTATTACTAAGTTTTTTCCAGAAAAGCGCATGACCAAGAAGAAAATGTGTCTTGCAAAAACACAAAACAATATGCTATGAATTGTAAAAAACAAAAACAAGATAGATTTGAGTAGCTTACCAGGTCAAGAGAAGGAAACTGAAGATGGAAACATAGACAGTGAAGAACACGAACTCAGCAAGCTCAGGGTCAAGGAATGTCAGAGAGAAGTTGAATAGTAAAGTGAATGATTCAAAGCATTAGGGCTTGTTTTGTGAAAAGAGAAGGGAAAAAGGCGGGAACTGTTCAAAAAACACGAGGTACGAAGACGGCGTGACAGCTACCTTTAGCCAATAAAAGCATGCCGCGTGTCCTTGGAATGAGAAGCGATTCAGTCTCTGTGATTGAAGAGACATTTTGATCAGACAGGTACAACCCAGTGTAAATTTTGCTCGGCTGGAAAGGCTAAGAATTTAGCTCGGCTAGGAAAGGCTAAAGGGTTTTTAAGCTCGGCTGGAAAGGCTTAAGAGTTTAGCTCGGTCGTAAGGCTAAAGTTTTTAACCCAGTTTATAGGCAGGTAATCCCTATCATGCTGCGCAGATGGAATTAAGGGGCAATTGAGAGGGTAATTTATATGAAAATTGGGCCGAGCTGGGTAATGGGCCGTTATGGGCCACAGTATGAAGGGCTGAGTAAAAAGGCCTTAAAATTAGTTCGGTCCTAGAAGGCCTTAATTAGTCCTGTCCCAGAGAGCATATTGTTATCTCTATCCAGGAGAGCACTGAGGATAGCTCGGTCGCCAGGTTGCCACATTCAGAGTTAGCCCGGTCGTGGAATACCGCAGCTAGCTCGGTCAGGACCTTGATGTTTTGTTTTCTCGGTCTAATCACGCCAGGGTTGGTGTAGGAGAAACCGGGGTAAGAGCAGTGAAAGGAAGAACCAAACTAGCTATAGTTCGGTCTACTCGCGGCTCAGCATAGCCATGCTTACCTCGGTCATATTGGAGTCAGACCATGGTAGAACCATCTCACTTGGTTCAAGCAGTGAGGAGGGTGCAGAAGGATAAGCGTTATCTTTCACGAGTATGACTCCTAGGAGGACTTTACATGGAGGAGTAAGAGTCCTATTAGGATTGTGCCACGCGAAACCTATAAAAGCTCATAACATCACCTATGGAGAGGTAACACAACTTTGATTCCCAAACACACAGAACTTTTTGTCTATTTGTCTATTTTGCTGACTTAGGCATCAGAGAGGTATCCGACACACACCCGCCGGCTAGCTCGCGTTTGTGTTTTCAGGGAGTAAAGCGACGACGTACGGCGGAGTGCAGACTTGATCAACAAGATTATACGGGAAGAATATTTTATGTCCATACAACGTGCGCCGTCTGTGGGAAATATCAGACAAGAACAAAACCTCTTGATCAAGCTTTTCCTGCTAATCTACTCATCTTTACCATTGTCATTTTTCTATCATTACTTCTCAAATACTATTAATTGACATTATTGTCTCTATTGTCTACTGATGTCGATGACTTAACAAAAAAAAATTGACAACAATGGATAAATAGACATAAATAGATAGATAAACATATAAACAAATAAATATGTGTAATATGATTTTTTTACATTATTATTGTCCTTTGACTAAAAAAATAGAATTTAAGACCATTGTGTCAAAAAAATTAAATTTAAATTTTATGACTGGGTTGTCATATTAAATAATAATAATAATGAATTTATCATGACATTATTTAACGACACATATATATATTGGGTGTGTGGCTTCGCTGGAACTAGAAAAAGCTAAATTAAAGTAGAATGCAAATAAAATGAGTTGTAAATGGCATGTGATCTGTTTGGTTGCCGAGAAAAAGGCAAGCAAAGATAAGAAAATGAATCCGGAATTTTACAGTGACTAAAGGGGAAAATTTCCCACTTTCTTATTTTCTCGAGAAAATTTGATGGCTTAGTGGAATCCAACCAAGTCTGATGACAGGGTCCAGTCTAGATTTGGTTTTTTTATTAAAAAATCCACGTCAGCATTGTGGGCTGTCATTGGGCAAGTCATGCTGAGTGCCGACCACGTCTTGAAAAGTTTGCTTTTAGTTTGGGCCTAGGAGTTGGACTGGGCCCACAATCGTGTGGTGTAGGTCAGTCTTTTCTTAACTTAAATTGAAAGCTAATCTATACATATTGCATTATTGTGATTATTACCAATTGAATATTGAATAATTAACTTCTTCCTTTCTTTTTTTTTTTTTGATAGTTCTAATAGCAATTGAATTATTGATTTCTCCTTGGATTTGTGGAAAGAAAATGATAAAATAATAAGAAATAAAAAATATATATATAATAAAAGAAAATGAAGTGATTTTTTTTTTTTTTTTTTTGTGTTAAAAATGAATAGATATTCATAAAAAAAAAAACTATTTTTGATATTCGGTACTCAAACAAAAATTTTATATATATGTTCCTAATAAGTGATTTCTTCTTCTTCTTTTTTTCCTATAAAATTTTATTTTATTTTATTTTTGCATCTAGATAGATATACGTGTAGATTTTTTATTCCTAATTAAATTCGATGCAATATCGACATTTCTTTATCAGATGTAATATTTGGATTCAAGTTTCAAGTGTAGTATCTTTTCTCTTATTTTCCTCACATCAATTATAAAAACTAACATATAAATTAAATCTGATGTGATCTCTAATTAGATGCTAGTAAAAAATAACATATAAATTAGATACTAGTAAAAAAGTCATTGCCCCACTACTTTCACGTGATCTCTAATTTGATCCCCACTCTACTATGAATAGCTAACCTTTCACATACGCCATTGTTTGTATCCAATCAATTAAACATTATTACTCATAAGGTCTGTTTGGCCTCAACCTTATTTGGGTTTTTCCTTTTTTTATTTTTAGATTTTTTCTTAATTTTTTTCTTCAATTTCAAGTGTTTCTGAATTAGAAGTTTGCTTTTAAAAATATATATAGATCAAATTTGTGTAAAAAAAAAAATGATCCTAATTTTAAAATATAAAATGCAATTGAATCAAATTTGTAAAAGTCCACTAAAAAATATCCTGCATTTTTTCAATAAAATCACTTCTTCTTTTTTTTTCTTTAGTACATAGATTTTTAAATTTTGAGTTTTTTTTTTTAAAGTAAAATAACTGGGCCCAAAGGGGCCTCAGTCTGGTCCATATAACGTCGAGCTAGAATTGTCTGCATCACGGTCTGGAATGCGATCGATCCATAGCGAAAAAAGTAGGCCCAGATGTGCCTTACTGACGGTGGGCTGGGTCCGTATGAGGTCGACCTTGAGTTCAATCAGCCCATTTAAGGCCCACATATATTGGGCCCAATAAACAGGCTATGCCCAAGATTGATTCCGCCCAATTGATTCCAGACTTCTAGCATTTTCCATGGCTACACAGCGAGATCACCAATCCAAAGCTTGAGCTTCGTCTTCTCTCTCATACTCTGCTCTGCGATCGCAGCTTAAAAATTGCAGAAAGGTAAACCCAATTTCTTGTTAATCTCCAATTGGACCTATCTATTTTGGCATTTCTGTATCCAGATCCATCTTTTGTTCCACAAATTTTCTCTATTTGAAAACTAGGGCTGTCCATGATTCGTAGCTTAGTACGGTTTCATGGAGTCGATTAAATTTACTGTGGATTGAATTACGAAGAACTTCGTTTATAATATTCATAATGTTGCGTTATCTCTGCTAGTTTTACGTGAAATTTGGAGAATTTTATTGTTTTCAGGTGATTCCAGCGAGCTCTATTGAATTTTGCTGACCGTTTTCTCTTCGATTGCTTGCTATGTGGGTATTACGTTTCTTTGTTTATTTAATTGAACCATTAACATTTCTTCATTGTTTTGTTTTGTTTTTATATTTTTGGCTCATTTGTTTTGTAGTAAAATGTTTATGTCAAAAATATTTTATTCATTCTTCCTTGTATGCTTGAACAAAAAGTAAGTAAAATATTTTTAAAGAAAAATATTTTTGCATCATTTTTCAAAAAATGACTTACCTTTAAAAATTATGTAGGCTAATTTTTACACATTTGACTTTCACTCAGGCCTCGTTTGGGAACAAGCTAATTTAGTAACTTTTTGGCTATTTGGCTAAAAAGATAGGTAAAAAAAACTTATATGTTTGGGATGACTTTTTGGCTAATTACGAAAAGATGTGCAAAAAGTAGAGAGAAAAGAGAATCTTTGACTTTTTGGTATGAGTTGTTGGCTTTTTGGCTAATTTAGTAACTTTTTGGCTATTTGGCTAAAAAGGTAGGTAAAAAAACTTATATGTTTGGGATGACTTTTTGGCTAATTACGAAAAGATGGGCAAAAAGTAGAGAGAAAAGAGAATCTTTGACTTTTTTGTATGAGTTGTTGGCTTTTTAGCTAATTTAGTAACTTTTTGACTAATTGGCTAACAAAGTAAGTCCCCAATCACTACCTTTTTAACGCATAACATTTTCAAATAAGTATCTCAGCTCACTAAAAAAGTTATAAATTACACTTTATTGAAGCAAAATTTCTCTTTTTGGCAATAAAATGTTTTTGTTTCAAATATCAATCAAACGCTAAAAAAATAAAAAATGAAATAAAAAAATTGTTTTTGTTGTGTAAAATCAATTTACAAGAAAAATATTTTTTTTTATGAAAAATATTTTGCATCAAAACAAACATGCCCTTAATGTACTCTTTCTTTCGGAATTTTATGCAAGCAAATAAGCTCCGTAAAGTCAGTTGTAATTTAGGCTCAATTTGTTTCGACGTAAAATACTTCACACCCAAAAATATTTTTTATGTAAATTGATTTTGCACAAAAAGAATATTTTACTTTTTTATTTTCCGGTGTTTGATTGACACTTTGAAACAAAAACTTTCTATTATATGCATTGGGTAGAAGCCAATGAAGAGCTACTGTTTCACCTTTGCGCAGATCAATGTGCTAAAAGGGCCGAGATGGAAGTGAACTTTCTAAAATTTGGCTAACGGAATTTTTAATGTAAGTCATTCTGGGGACTATAACGAAAAATATTTTACTTACTATTTGTTCAACCAAACAATAGAAAATAGGTAAAATATTTTTGAGGAAAACATTTTACGTCAACACAAACAAACCCTTATTAAAGTTCATCTCCTTTCATAGCTCTGTTATCAAAGAAAATAGGAACATATATTGCGGGCAAGTGTCTCTTTGTAGAATTATCACCATGAACCATATGGGTAATGGGTGGCAATTTTTGTTCTTTCTGGGAGTTCACTCAGCTGAAAATGGATAGTGAAATGGGATTAGGAACTGATGTAGCCTTGAAAACCTTAGTAATTGTGTGCTGAAATTTTTGCACTCGACAAGTGGGCTTGTACTTATTTTACTGGAATTTGTTACATAATTACAATTGCAATGTGATTGTATTTTAAGTCCCTTTTCTCAATATAACAATTGTTACTTTAAATTGAAAAGGTTGAGTTTCTCAAGAGCTCGGATTTGGATGCAGGACTCCTAGGCCTAGCTTATAGATATGGAAAGTTGAGGTTCCTTTGCAAGAGAAATGTGAGTGTTATATGAGGTTGTAAGTAAGGAGTGCGAAATTGGAGCACAAATGAAAATGCTCGAATCCACTAACTGATAGGTTGAAAAGTGGTTTTTTTGGGGTATACATGAAGTTCTTCATTCTTGGGTATTCATGTTTGTGACATACTAGTGTTAATACCATGAAACTTCTACATTTATCTGATTCTTCAATAGTTTTTGGCTGCAAGTTTCTTTCATATTCCAAACTGTACACATAGATAGATACTAGGAAAGAATCCTCCTCTGTTTTTAATGATTTTATAGGAGAGGTAAGCTTTGCAGATGAGCTTTGGTTTTGCATAGTACACTCTTGCATTCAAACGTTGCACCAATTTGGTATTGTATTTATTTATTTTTTTCAATACAAGAGGTCAACTTAGAGCAAAGCATGCTGACAAGCAAGCTTGCAAAGCAACTGAGGCAAGCATATGAAGCAGTGTTTCTCAAACTAAAGGATTTTGCTTATTAAAGAACGAAAAAATAGATATTTACTAGCAAATGCTTGTTTGCATGGCTTAAACTTAAAACTATAGCTGATCTGTTTTTTTTTTTTTTTTTTATGATGCAAAAAAGTTCTTTAACCTAAAACTATCCACAGAATCCATGTACAGTTTTCCTTTAATTGTTTAGCTTCTCATTTATTATGTTTCTTGTATCAGCTGAAGTGGAGTTAACAAATTTTCCTTTATGTTAGGGCGGATGAGGAACTTGTTGATCCGAAGAAGTACTACGAAGAGTCTTGCAAGCCTAAGTGTGTGAAACCTTTACTTGAATATCAGGTGTTTTGCTCACTGTGGAATTGAAAATTTTTCATTTTTAAAGTTCAAAGATATGCATTTGTACTTCACTATCTTTGAAGTTCCTTACTTGTTATAATACCTTTCTTTTACTATCTAGCTCCTCTGTCTAGATTAAAAGTCATTTGAGCACCCCTGGCTGCATATACTTGGTTCATCATTTTATTATTGCTGCAAAGTTTTGCTGAAAAATTTTATATGGTTAGAAAAAGGAAAAAAAAAAAAAAGAGGTTACATAGGTTTAATGTGTATAAACATATTTATGAAGTCATCATCTCAAAGTTTAGAATGCTTGGATATTTCAAGAAAGTCTTAGCGATGATAAGTAGATTATTTGTACATGACAAAGTAAAACAAATAAACTTTAGTAAACATGTACAAGACAATGTACTCGTTTCATATTCATGCCTTCATGGCATTTACTTATGTATTGCTTTATATTTATGCTAGTGTCAACTTGGTGTGAAGTTCACAAATATATAGTTCTACATCACTGTTGTTGAAGTTCCTTAGTTATTCCAACTAATGTGAAGGTTATTTGAGAATTCTCTGTGAATAATATTTAGGGGAAATTTTACTCTACTCCCCATGGTATAGCCCATGTGCACAATCCCTCCAATAGTTTGTGTACTAAAATGCATCACAAACTTTTGTTAACAACACTTCATCTTCTTCCCCTATTATATATGTAACATGGATATGGAATGGAATACGGTTACGATATGAATATGGAGATATGACAAAACCTAAAAGAGTAGTATAGGGATACGGATAGGAAATGTTCGTAAAAATATATATATATAATTTTCAGCATTGTATTATGTATTATACATAAGCACAAAGAATTGTGAGAAACTATTCTATGGGAATTAGGTAGTAGTTGAAGAGCCACTAGCTAGTCTACTTTTTAATTTTTAGTCGGTCTTATCTTAGAGTGAGGATCCTCAAGAGTGATTTTTCGTAATCTTAAGAGTATTTTTTGTATGGTTGAGATTTTTTTTCAAGTGATTATCAAAATTATTATACCATCAACTTTTGTTGAATTAAATCTCAGTCATTCAAAAAATCACTCTATGATCACTCTACGAAAAATCACTCTAAGGATCCGGATTCCTTATGTTAAACTCTTAAAAGTGTTTATATATCTATCTATCTATCTATACTATTATAAAGTGAACACATAATATGGTGTCCTGAAGCTTTACTCTCCTCATGCCATGTGGCAGTATTTTTTTTTATAAAAAAAAGTTAAACAAAGAGATGGGTAAGGTTTGAACCCATGACCATGGGTTTAAGTATAAGGACTCATACCACTTAAGCTAAGTACATATTATAATATTAATTTCATTATTATTTTTTCTTATTCCTACTTATTGCACACACATCGTGTGTGCCACCCACTAGTATATATATATATATAAGTGTTAAACTAATTATTTGCTTGTTAAATTGTTGAAATCCGATTTAGTATTGTTATATTTTCTTATCTATCCTTTACTTTCTATAAAATATGGATATGGATATGGGGTGCTTGTATGGTACATCAAGGATTCGTCAATTCGTTAAATTCTGAAGAAGTAAGATACTACTTGAATCTTAATATTTTCTTTGTTTTTTTTCCCCCCCAAGAAGTAAACAAAGTATTGAAAAATTATTCTTTCTTTTTTCCTAACAATTATTCTCTAATGCTATGCAAGAATTATTTCTATTTCAATATCATAATCTTATCTATCCTTACTTTCTATAAAATATGGATATGGATATGGGGTGCTTGTATGGTACATCAAGGATTCGTCAATTCATTAAATTCTGAAGAAGTAAGATACTACTTGAATCTTAATATTTTCTTTGTTTTTTCCCCCCCCAAGAAGTAAACAAAGTATTGAAAAATTATTCTTTCTTTTTTCCTAACAATTATTCTCTAATGCTATGCAAGAATTATTTCTATTTCAATATCATAACAGTTCGGATACTTGACTTAGAAAGAGTATCTGGAAAGCGTCTAATACTTCTCAAAATTAAAGAAAATTATGGATATATTTAGAAAGTGTTGGATACATATCCATGAATACGCAAGGAGTATCGGTGTCTGATACGAATACGACTCCCATTAGAAGTTGTGCTCCGTAGCTCTTCTGAACTAAAACCTTCACTTTACTCTTGTAGCATAGGTTATGTGCACATAAACCCCTTGCCACTTGGAAATAACCACTCAACCCCTAGTAATTTGCGGACTTAAAAGGCAGTCACATTTTCCATCCGAATTAACAAAAAGTCCATTGCCTTCACCTGTACAATATTTATAACAACTGTTGTATTCTTAAAAATCAATGTTAGTGCTATTAGATATACAGTCCATGTGTGTGCATGTGTTTGCGGTGCAAAATTAGCTGTAGGGAGAACAGTTATTGTGACCATTAATTATAATACATTGCTCTATCTCCCACAAGTTACCAGTTTTCTCACCGTTGCCTTCACTCACATTTATGTTTATTTGATAAGTATTCCAGTTGATGGCTTCAATTCAATGTGCTCATCTATTGAAATGAGGTCATAATTAGAGGCTTGAGATGTATGATATATGAATTTGAGGTAGTGTTCAAAATAATGAGTTTGTATACGATAAGTAATAACAAAAGTAAAACCATAGGAGCTCAACAAATATAATATAAAACAAAAAGAGTTGGACGTGGTGGTGGATTTGTGATGAAGGGTGACAGGACAAAGAAGTCCTACCTTTGATTGGAAGTCCGTCAACATCTCTGTTGACGATGATGGTGGCGGTGGTGGATCGGGCTTTTGGTGGTGGAGAGGTGTCAAGGATCTCATAGAGATACGTCACTACTATTGGGTATCGCCTACCTCGGCCATGACAAGCCAATCAAGCCGAGTGTGGTGTTGTTTAAGCCAAGCTTGTTAGGCAGTTCAGCTTGAAACTTGAGATTGTCTTGTTTAATTGTTGAATGTACTGTTTTTTGTAATGATTCAAGCCTGTATTTTTTATGAGCAGCTCCTTTTATTTGCAGCCCATGTTTGCTAATGGGTTTACAAAGATATGTATACTGGGCAGAGCACTAATGAAGTCCGTTACTAATCTGAAACTGTCTCATTTTCTACAGGCATGTGTTAAAAGGATTCAAAATGATGAAACTGGGCACAAGCACTGCACTGGACAATATTTTGATTATTGGGCTTGTATTGACAAATGTGTAAGCCTCCTTTTCTTGTTAAATTTTAATGCAAGTAAAATTTGTTTTTTAGGTAATAAAAATTTGTTTATTATTTGTCATCTTTGATGTGTACTGAGACCACTCTGGAACACAGGTTGCACCCAAGCTATTTTCAAAACTGAAGTAATGGGTGGGATAGCTTTGTGGTAATTAACGTCATGTCGCGCTTTTGTTCAACCTGACATCTCATTGATTGTGTCTTCACCATAAACTTTTGATGTCAGTTCCGTATTTTTCATCAGCTATATGGACTTTGTGTGTGTGTGTGTGTGTGTGTGTGTGGAATAATGTAGACCTTGAGTGAAGTTAATAATAGAGAGCTTGTGGATTAGAGATTTTCTTTGATACTTTCCATGGTTGGTAATTTTGGATTGCCCAAATCTACTGCAATTTAGGTTGCATTTGATTGTTCAAATTTGCAGCCCTGTTATTAGTATTTAGTATTTTCACTCGTGGGCTTAAACTTTGGTGTTCCTGGTAGCGTGAGTTCAAGTTTTGAGAAGAGTCTCCAGAGATGAGTAATTGTGTACTTTCTCATCAAACATTATTTGACGGGAACTTCCTGTTATAGGTCGGGCTTTTTTTTTTCTGGATAAAGAAAAGAGCATCATTTAATTTAATTACAAACCAACTACATGATAGATAAAAGACAAAAAGAAAAACAAAGAGCCACAGCAAGAAACACAAGGGCAAGACTGCAAACAACTTTTCCTTGCAAAGCTCGCATAGGAAATCAATGCCATCAACATCATCTTGTCTTAAGGCTTCAAAGAAAAATTCACGTTTGTAGTGCCATATCAAGCTGCAGATCAGTTGAAGCCCCAGGGATTCAAACATCGACACCTGCAAAGATGAAAACAAGCACAGCCTTGTCTTCCCGTTATTTCTCTGGTATCATAAATATCAACAGGCTTGTATCGCAACAGTTCAAACAAGACTAAAGAACAAAAATGATTAAAATAGATTGAAGAGTTACATTTTTTATGCGCGAGAGATATTGATAGTGATAGAGAATGGTAGCGGTGGTAGGGATGCAATTGGATAGGTTGGGGCCGGTTAAGAGACTGTTTAGATTCAACTTGACTTGTGCTCAGAGTTGTTCAAACTCAAATTTGCCGAAAGTTTTGATTTTTTGGGATATTAGTTTGATTAATTTGTTAAAATTAAACTCTATTAATAATTTTATGATGTGAGAGATTAAGAGGAGAGATGAGAATGGAGGTACTGATGTGACTCTACTGTGGTCTTTATAATTTGAGTGGGAAAAAAAAAATTGTAATGTTTTGTGTTGTTATTTGTATATAATGTATAGTCAATATAGTAAAACAATTCAAATTATCTTAATATCATTCTATGGTTAATAATTTATATATACATACAATTTACACTTTAGTAGCTTAGACTGGTAGTGTTTTTGTTCAAACTCAATCCAAATTTAATTTGAACTTTTCAATTTTTGTTCAAAGCCATACTATTCAAAAATATATTTTCCAAGTCTAAAACTTTTTCAATTGCATAGTTATTAAGAGTGATAGTGGTAGCAACAATTAATGGTGGTTGTAGTAGGGGAGCAAGTGGTGGTGTTGGCGGCATAACGGAGGTGGTAGCAAGATGGCATTAGTAACAATAGTTGTGGTGATGGTAGTGACAACTAGGGTGATAAAGGAATCAAGCCAAACTCGACTCGATAACTAAATATTTTTTTTTAATTATTATTTATTATATAAATAATATTTTATTTTTTAATTTAAATAAAAAATAAATGAATTGATTTTATTTAAATTTGAGCTCCATTCATTTATTAAAAAAAAAATTAAAAACTATCTCAAATATATTTGTGAACTTTGAATTGAGCGAAACTAAAAATTTGCGAACAACTGGATTCATTTTGAGTTCCAGTGACATCGAGGGAGTATAATAACATTAATAAGTATTGTAACTTGACATAAAAATAAAAATAAAAATAAAAATCCAAATAAAATGCAGTGTTAGTTAAAATTCAATGTAGAAGTAACTACCAACGGTTTAGTTTTCTAAACCCTAATAAAAACAGAGCAAAGAAACAACAAAATGTCTCTGCCAAAACCCTAGAAACTCTCTCTGCAAACCCCACAACCACCATTGACGATGAGAGACAATTCACCACAACCCCAACCCATAAACCCCACCAAAACCCTACCTTTTCCTTCTCCACCTCCGCCTCCACCTCCCCAATCGCCTTCTCGGAAGCGCCTTCTCTCCAATCCCAATCCCAACCCCAACCCCAACCACAACCCCAAACAGTGCTCAACCTCCTCCGATTCATCTCTCTCATCCGACTCATCTTCAGAGCGATTCCGAAAGAAGACCAGAGACCTCCCCAATTTCTCCGATTGCCACTGCTGTGGACTCCACATCAATACCTCCAACCCCAAGAACAAGCTCCAAACCCTAGACAGTGTTTGGCGGATCGTCCTCCTCTGTAAAAAATGCATTGAGCGAGTCGAGTCAGCTGAATTGTGCTCCTATTGCTTCTCGAAGGCCGATTCGGACTGCTATCGATGCCGGGACTGCGAACGCTGCATTCACAGGGAGTGCGTTGCAAAGTACCGGTGGTCTTCCTATTGTTGTTTGGAATTAGGCTTTTCTGTTTGTGTTGACTGTTGGGTGCCGAAATTGCTTGCGAATTCGAATAGGGTTTATAAGAGGAGGAACAATTCTAGGGTTTCTAAGTCGCTGGAGGATGTGGTGATTGATGCCAAGAGCGTGGTGAAGAAGAAAACTGCGGTTGTAGCTAAAGCTAAAGAGAATGCTTTGAGAAAAGCTATGGTAGCCAGAAAGGTTGTGGAATTGGCGAACAGTGCGTTGGAATTAGTTGCGAAGAAAGATGACAATGGTGCTACTGTGGTTGTTGATGATGCAGAATTGGCATTTCAATTGCATCGTGCGATGAATAGTTCACCAAGGATTTCAAAGAACTTCTGCTTGTTGAATTCGAGCCATTTGCCTGTTCCAAGAATACGCTACTGCGATGGTGATTTATCGGTTAGATCATCTGGCTCAAGGGTGAGTTCACATCCTAGTGCTACTGCCCCTAATAATAAGTTAAATGAGAACGTTGATGCAACTGTTTCAGAACCAGTTTATGTAAGCCCTTTAGATAGTAGTTCTCATATTTGTTTGGGTAATTTAAAGCAGGACGGGTTGGCGTATTATACAAGGAGGTGTAAAAAGGAAAAGGAATGTCGGGTAAACGGTGGAGCGATTGTTGGAGACTGCAATTTTGGTGATGACAATAATTGGATTGTTGAGTCTCAGACTTGCCAGAAACAAGTTAAGTTGGAGTATGATTTAGATGACACTAGATACCAAAGTCAATTGACTTGTGATGGAAATGCTACTGTGTTCCATGAGGGAAGATGCAATGGGAAGCCAGATCGCTATATGTTAAAGTATAGCAAGAGGCCTGTTGGCTTCAAACCAATTTCAAATAGTGAGCCTAAAATCCTTTATGATGATTCTTCTGTTGAAAGTAAGGATGAAGCTGTGGGACTACCTCTGAATTGTTCCGAGGAATGTAGAACATTATCTGATACTACATTTCAGTCTTGCACAACGCTACCTTGCAATCTTCGGCCTGTGCATGTAGTCCATCCATCACGAGATCTGTCCTGAAGTAAACAGGTAACAACAAACATTTACTTCTCAAATTTTGTAATTACTTATTGGAGTTGAGGAATTCCATCATGATTAAAATGGTTGTCCTAGTTTAGAGAAGAAAGGCTGCCGCATCTTTCTTCTGTATCTAATTGTGCACCTTGTCTAAGTTGGGTTTTTGTCATGGTATAATTTTCATTTTGTTACAAACTCAAGACCTCTGTTATCAGAATCTTACGATTCGCGATTCGATTCACGATTCGATTCACAATTTTTGCAAAATCGATATGAGTCTATGGGTGAATCTCTCTTTTATCAGAATCTTACGATTTGCGATTCGATTCACGATTCAATTCAAATTTTTTGCAAAATTGATACGAATCTATGGATGAATCTATTTTGGAAGGAAATCTCTAGTGAATCGCACGATTCACAATCGATTCACGATTCAATTCACTTTTTATAATTCATGTAATTTTTTAAATTATTGTGTCCAACATATTTTCGACTATTTTTTTCTCCATATTTTTAGTGAAAATGACATAATACAACTTTTAATAGCGTTTAATACCAAAATAACCAACATATATACATAATTTATTGTTATTTTAGTGATCGTGAAGTTTTTAATAGAATCCAATCAGATTCAGTCAGACTCAATATATTTTTAATCTTTCTTCTCATTTTTTTTCCCTTTAAAAAATCATAATATATCTTCTAAAGATGTTTAAGATTAAAGTTACATTATGAATTATCTTTTGCTATTTTATTAAATTAAATATAATTGAATATTACATATGTGAGGTCAATTATACCTGTTAAAATGTTTTAGGCTTTAAAATAAAATATTCTAAATAATTCTTTCTTATTATTTGCTCACTGTTACTTAGAAAAGTATGTATGCTTATTGTCCAAATATCAATATCATCGTTAATTATTGTTATTTTGAAAATTGATAATTTGTCTATTTGGTTATTATCTTTATGAAGAATGGTTGATAAGAAATATCTAAAAAGAAAAAAAGTAAGACCGTGATCTTACATAAGAATCTTTGTTAACTTCTTACCTATTAAACTACGTGATTATCACTCAAAATAACATTTTCATTGATTTAAGTCTAAATATTTCATATTCATAAGATATATTTAACATCTAAATGTGTAAATATATATTTTAAAGTAATTTTAAAAAAATGACCGAATCTTTATGATTCACGATTCGATTCGATTCGCGATTCGGTATAAGGTCATTTCGATTCACGATACGAATCTCGATTTGACAACTATGCTCAAGACCAATGTTACCAAAAAACACTAATAGCCTAGTGATTTACATTTCGTAACATGATTAATTTTAAAAATAACAGCAACATCTAATTAAATGTCTAATTGTTAAAATAAAATTGCTCTAGAAGTACCTTAAATTCTAATAGCGTAATCTAAACAAGTCTACTTCTATTGTACTCATTTCCGAGAATGTAACTTACCATTCCCCTGATCCTAGTCTGTACCGAAACATTCCACAGCTCAAGACAAATATCATATGGTGGAATACTTAGTACCATACCATTACCACTCTTAGTTTCTTTCCCTCTCTATATTCTCAACGACCAAACAAATAGGAGATAACAAAAGAAAGAACCAACATATATTTTTTTTCAGCACAAGTTTGTACCTGATATCATGAGGAAGCAAGATGAATCAGCTCAGATGATGCCACCTGTAGTCTGAATCCGTTATGGTCTCAGCCTGAAACAAACAGAGGGAGGGAGAGAAGTAAAATTTGTCAGTTTGGTGGGGGTTCTTTATCAAATCAAGACTTAGTAATAAGTGACCAAGCTAGTTCAATAACCATCCTATACAATTTAGTTTCCGAAACAAAATCAATATATATATGTTGGCAGAAAGAGAGAACTAAATTAACTTGCCTTTATACTTTGATAATGAATAAACAAAGCAGAGAAGAAGAGAAGCACTGAAATCTATTTAGCTTTCTTTTTTCATCAAGCCTATAGTGGTATTAGTTTTCAATTTTGCCTAGAAGACCCTTCAAAATCATAATTTAAACTAAATTCCCGATTTTATTTCCTCCAGTACTCTTATTTAAATGTAATAATTACAGATAGCCTCATTGTTTCCTGAACGTATACCCTCATATCCTTCTCATATCCAACTGTATTTGAAAATGAAAAAGGTTATAATGATTTTTGGATACTTCTTGAATGTATCTAATATGTATTAGGCCATATCAAGTGCTTATCTGTATCCAGTAAGTATCGGACATGTGTTTGGTAGCCCTTGAGCAAGTTTTGGACTTTGTAGAGATTTCTGATACTGAGGAGGCATATAGGTTGTTTCTTTTCTTGTTTTGTTTTTCTTTGCTACAGATTGATGTCCCATCTTAACACCATTGTTAATGAAACTTTTTATTGAAAAAAGAAAAAGAAAATGAAAATGAAAATTATAAACATAAAATTAAGACTGGAAAGATTGGAAAAATAAAGATTCTGGCTTTTTCAATAGGTGCCTTAGTTGGCCATGCTGGATATTTTTATATATTGATGATTGGGTAGATTGAAGAGATGTTGTCCATCAAGTTGCAGTAGAATGAAATGGAGTGGAGAAATACTTCCTAAAGTGTCACATGATCAATGAATAATAATCAGATTGAAGAGAAATTTTGATGTATGTGAAGTGAGCATGTTTTATGGTGGGCAATGCTAGGTATTTAAGACATAACATCCCTGTAAGATAATTTTAGTTAAAAGGGCTACTTTTAGGCCCTTGTTCTGCTGATTTGTGAATTGAGAGCAGATATATTGTTAATCTTTGAATACAAGATTTTTGGAGCAGTGGCTCTAAACTTCAGAACATAAATCTTTATTGATACTCAGGATCTGGACATATTTGTTATATTTTAAGTTACAATGGACTTGTGAATGCTGGATTGACTCTACTTCGTGTCAACCTACATAAGATAGACTTGCAAACACACTCATCATCAACAATGATGTTCAATATGGAAACAACATGAAATTGAAATTTGTGCCCGGGGTATTTTCAGTTGCTGCTTTCACAATACTGCTCACACTCTCAGTCTTGCATTATGCTCTAGGCAATTAGTGTGCACATCCAAAGTGCTTTACCTTTGCAGCTGAAGCTATGTGTTTCCTTGTTGAAACTTTTTGTTTGTTTTTCCTACAAGAGGTCCTATGAAGTATCTGTAACCTTTAGCCCTTCGCATGATACCAGCAGAACCTATGAAGTACCGACACTTCAAAACAAGTGTCGTATCTATATTGGATACACGGACACTTCGGGGATACGCATGGGACACACCACATGGCGTGTCCCCTTATTTAATTAATTTATTTTCAAGGGACATGCTAGGGACACACTAGGGACATGCCAAGTTGTCTTTTTCTCCATTTTATTTAGTGTCTTTGATAAATGTTGAATGTTTATTATTTTTTTTCTTAGATTTAAATACTTAATAGATCATCCGTAAAAATTTATATATATAAACTGTAAGTGTTAATTTAAAAGTGTTTCAAAAAAAAAAAGGAATTAGAGTTAGTTTTTGTTAATATTGATTGTTTTTTGATGTAATATTAATCTATATAGCAGATAAAAATATATGAAAATATGTTTTATTGCCGTGTCTGTGCCCCATTTTTTTTTGAAATCACCATGTCCCATGTCTGCATCCGTATCCATATCCGTGTCCATGCTTTTTTGAATAGAACTTATCACTCTTTTAGGTAGAAACCACAATGCCTATGGTTGGATCAAATTTTGCATCTTCTCACCTCCAGATTGGTTGTTTGATTACATTATTTAATTCAAGTCTATTGGCCTTTTCCCAGTAGCATTACTTCAAATTTAATAGCCAAAGAAAGTGAAAGGACTTCCCCAACTAACCACCCACCAAAGAAAGGGATGCATCGTAGATGTTCTCTAGTGGAACTGGAAAAAAGAGAAGATACAATCACAGAAGGGAGGGTCATTTGTTAAACAAGTTATTTCATTACTCAGATTCAGTATGAAGTTACAACACACCATGGAGCTCCTTATATTGACAGATAGAAGCATCTTAGAACACACAGATACGACACCTACATACTCTGTCAGGTGCAATGCGCACATAGTGTCAACACACCATGGAGCTCCTTATATTGACAGATAGAAGCATCTTAGAACACACAGATAGGACACCTACATACTCTCTCAGGTGCAATGTGCACATAGTGTTGTCTAGCAACCGACATTAGAATACATGACACTTATTTACTACCACTATCCACTCAGATGTGCTGTCACACTCAGAGTACACCACAATGGTTTGTTTTTTGCTTGAGTGGGAGATATAAAAGGAGTCAACATGAAACTACTTTTTATCTTCAAACCATTTGAATACTCTTTGAGAAGCTTGTGACCTTTGTGTGTAGTGCACACTCTCCTAAATTTATAAATGATATATCTACCTACTTTTGTGTGGAATGCACACTCTCTTCTCCATTTATTATTAACACCATATCTTGTAAGTATCCATTTTGTGAGTGTTTGAAGTGCACTCCTATTCAGCACACCATCTTCCCTAAGGGTGGTTGTCTGTTCAGACGAACTAAAGCCTTCTATATGAGAAGCACTTGCTGGTTATATTGCAAGATTCGAATCCCATAGTTTTTAATAAGACTTGAAAAATATCTGTTAGTACGTATCGAATCGGGTGTTTCTATTTACACTACAAATACATTTTATTACCTTTTATTTTTACATTATGCTTGCATAAAATTACTAAAAAGGATTTTAAAATTTTGAAACTTTCATTTCTCTACCCATAGCTCCACTCTACACCATGCCGCCACCCCTCTCCTCCCTGTCATTGTTCTCTCTCCCTGCCACGCCGAACTCCTTTCCTCTTCACAACCACCCACTCTAACCCATCCCTCTTTTCCAGCCACAACCTGTAACCCCCTCCCCTCTTGACGGCCCCAACCCTTCTCTACTTTGCCTAGATCTGCAACCCCCAACCCCTCCCCACTTCAACCACTGTCGCCACCATCCACCACCTTGAATCCATAGTTCACAGAGAGAGGAGAAATGAGAGAGAAAAGGATGGGTGTAAGGAGAGAATTTAAGATTAGGGGCAGGGATAGATAGGATATTGAGGGGTGTAAAGAGATAAATTCTAAAAATTTTGAAATGGGTGTAAAGAGTAAGTAGGTGTAATGAGGCCAATTTGTTGTGTAATAGAATGTCACTATCATATTTGCATGCTAGATATCAAAATTACTATGAATATGCATAGCAGATATCAAAAATCTGTTATTGGAGACTGTATTTAGGCCTAGAGTTATTTTGGCTAAATTAGCCAATAAAGACAAAATAGACTAATTTAGCCAATAAGACAAAATGTCACATCTATATCATAATCATTTCACTTAATCTCACAACTATCAAATCAACTACAAAAAAAAAAAAGAAAAAAATCAAAATTTATTCCAAACACAACTTTTTTAGCCAAGTTAAAATAACTAAAAGGCAAAAAAGTAAGGCTAAATTAGCTCATCTCAAATGAGGGCTTAGATAAGAAAATTGCTACTGTGTGTGATTGAAGAAAGCAGGAGAGAGGTCAAATAAAAATTTTGATTTCATTAATTAAAACCCACCATGGAGATTTTGTGCTTTCTACACGATTTGCTACTTTTGCAGCACTAATGTCCACCACTATCAGCACTATTTACACTAATATGCTCTCTTTCTATATATATCGTTCATGAGGAGTGTATCTTCCACAAGCAACCACAATCCTCCATCTTCATTCTCCCATTTATAGTTAAACTTATGCCCTTTTCTTCATGGCCGCCCCTAATGATGTCCAAATTCCCATTTCAAAGAATGAAACTGACGGAGAGAACAACTTGGACTACTCTCAAAGGGCACAATGGCTCCGAGCTGCTGTGTTGGGAGCCAATGACGGGTTGGTGTCGATAGCATCACTGATGATGGGTGTTGGGGCTATCAAAAAAGACTTTAAAGTGATGGTCCTCACTGGCTTTGCAGGGCTAGTTGCAGGGGCTTGTAGTATGGCAATCGGAGAGTTTGTCTCTGTCTACTCTCAGCTTGACATAGAAGTGGCTCAAATGAAGAGAGAGAAGAGAATGAAAGAGAACGGAGGGAATGGAAGGGAGTTTGAGAAAGAAAAGCTACCAAATCCAATCCAGGCTGCTACAGCATCGGCCCTAGCCTTTACAGTAGGGGCAATAGTGCCCTTACTTGCAGCTGCATTTATTGAAAACCATAGGGTGAGGCTTGGTGTAGTGGTTGCTGCAGTGAGCTTGGCATTGGTGGTGTTTGGTGGCATTGGAGCGGTGCTGGGAAAGACTCATGTTGTGAGGTCCTGTGCTAGGGTTGTGGTCGGAGGGTGGATGGCCATGGCCATCACTTTTGGGTTGACCAAGTTAATTAGCTCTACTGGGGGATGGCCATGGCCATCACTTTTGGGTTGACCAAGTTAATTAGCTCTACTGGGCTGCAAATGTGATCCTCCGTTTTCAGTTTTCGTCCTCTCGTCATATTTCGGTTTCATGTCTTGTGCCAAATTTCTTGTATTTAGTATGAAAAATGTGCATTGAACCATGTTTATTTAATAAGAGATGAAACCGTTTCTTAACACAAGGGAAAAAAAAAAAAAAACCAAGTTGGTTTATATTAAGAAATAAAAAGGGGTTAAAAAAAAAAAAACACTAAATTGGTTTGATAAGAAATGAAATTCATAAAAAAAAAAAAACACTAAATTGGTTTGATAAGAAATGAAATTCAATCAGTTCAACAATAGAAGTTATGAAAATGAATTTTCGTTTTTTGGGGATTTGAAAATATTAGTACAAGCCACACGCTTTTAAAAATCTCGTCTTGTCAGTCTTAGGTCTCATTTGAAAACAGATTATTTTAATAACTTTTTAACTTTTTAGTTAAAATATGAGATAAAAAAAACTAATATGTTTGGAATAATTTTTTGACTTTTTACGAAAAAATATGTAAAAAGTAAAGAGAAAATAAAATCTTTAATTTTTTTGTATAAGTTTTTGATTTTTTAATTTTTTTAGTAACTTTTTGACTTTTAGATTAAAACTTGTCAAATGAAGCCTTAGTATTAACAAATTCCAAACTATATGAAACCTGAGCAAAGCTTCATCACATTCACAAACATAGATTCACTTTGAAAGCCATAACCATAGTTTGTCCAGCAGCCTCTAGAAGGGATCACAAAACAAGTAATACCAGCCATCTCATATAGACGACGATTGAGAGAGAGGGAACCTAAGTGCCTAGGTCAAGGAATCACGTGGGTGGTGGGACCTCGACTTCATTCTTTAACCAAATTGGGTATAAGGGGCATAAAGCAAAATAAAGCTAATAATACATCAATATGAGTGTCCCATGAATTTGTCATCGTCCCAAAATACAGATTAAAAGAATCATCCATAAATGCATAAAGCAAAATAAAGCTAATAATACACACTTTTTTTTTTTTTTTTTTTTTTTTTTTTTTTTTTTTTTTTTTTTTTAAGCACAATAAGGCCATGTTTGTTTGGACAGACTGGATTAGATTGGATTAGTATTCCCATGACTAATAATCTTAAGACTACGAATCATTTAGATTATGTTTGGATTGACTTAACATTAGAAGGAGGACTAGTAGTCCTGACTTTGGTTTAGTCTTTCGATTTATATCACACCCCCTTTAGCGGGATTGAATAATCCATCATATGTGAGATATCATATCCAGATGGATTGTTAGTCCGTAATTCAATTGTTTACCTAAACATCGGATTAATAATTTTATTAGATTATTAATTTAATCTCAAACTCATTTCCACCCAAACAAACATGTAAGAATACCTTTATAGCAAGAAATAACAAAGCTTTACAATCTGATTACTATCATTTTATGAGAGCTAAATCCAAGAAGATACATGTGTAATCAACAATATGTGAAGAGCATATAAATAGGTAATACAAAGAAGAATAATTTACACGCTCAATTCCCTTGTTTCCTTTTAACCAAAATCTGTGACTGCCATAAAATTTAATAACGCAATAAAAAGAGCTAAATTCCCAGCCTTTGCGGCAAAAAATACTGTGCATCACAAGGGGAATTAACACAAGTGGTTGACACAAGAAATATAGTAATATTATTTCCATAATAATTTTAAAATTAAAATTTTAAAAAAAAAAAAAGGTGCACCTAAAACAGTAATCAGCTGGCATTGTAACAAGGCGGCAACCGTAAAACCAATTCAAAGTGGGGTAACAAAAAACCATAATCATTTTTAAACTCTCCCTACCGGACAGAGGAGCGAGCATGCATGAAAAGTGCAAAACCATGCTAACAAGCTTCAATACACAAACAAAATAAAGAACTAACTAGCAGTACAGGAAAACCCAGTCACCAGAAAAAATGCAATCACACAATAAATTGCAAATCATGATTATTGGTAAAAACAAATCATGATCCCCAACATTCTTAACCCACAGTAGAAACTAGAAGTCAACAGTTATACAGATGGAAGTGAGCACCCATTACAATACCGGAAAAGAAAAACCAATTTTACTTCCCGTATCAGATATTGAAACAGTTGAATTCCAAGAAATGGGATCCCAGAACTCAATAAGATTGTGCAAGTATAATGCTTCCTTTGATTCCAGAGCAAGTAAAAAGGAAAAGAAGAAAATTGCTAGTGTCATTCTGAAAACAAATGTAAGTACCAAGACAACTTAACCACCTACAAAGCATCCATCCATCATGCAAAATCAAGAATATTATGCACACATGGGCAATATTAATTGCATACTTAAATAAGTTGTGAACATAAAAACAACATGGAGTAAAAAGGTAGTGAATATTATGATATACTTCAAAAAGAAAAAAGAAGAGTAAAAAATGATGAGGCTCAGCCCTGACATGAATCAGTGAAAGGAAGACCTAAACAAAAGTGTGTTACAGCTAAAAGCAAAAAGGCCAAGAAAACGAAAAAGCACCTTCCTCCACAGACAAAAAGACACACAGACCATCCCAAGAATCATTTTCCTTCAAAGACAGTTCAGGACTCAAAAGAGGCAGTCGTCTCCCAACAGAAAATTTAAAGATTGACCATCATCGAGGTGAAAGGGAACATCTAATGGGAACCACAAGCCGACAAAGGAACAAGAAGCTGACAGACAGAAACACGAGTCATCTGGATCTCAGCAATAAAAACCATAGCATTACACGCGGAGAACAACAAGAACCTTCTCCCAAAAAGAGCCATGTGGAACAGAGAACCATAACAAAACAATGGACAGCAGTTGCTCAACTCTTCAAGAGCTTCCAAACAACATGCCACATGTTTAAGAAGTATGGAACTCTTCCAACAGTGCACCTTGCAGATGGCTTGTTGCTGCCCAAAAAACTCTCATTTTAAATATGTATAAACACATCCAATTAGCAACAAAGAACCCAATCATGTATCCAAAAAGACCATAAATAGCCTGCCAAAGTTTAACAATATTGACAATTAGCATTATGTATTATATAAGATTTGAAAACAATTAAATAGGAAGCAAATAATTTACCCGGTTAACTCCCATTTATTTGTTAAGAACGTTGTTAGAAGAACAGGAAAGGAGATTATGCTTCTAAGTCTCTACCCCCATTGAAAATAAGTAGTCATCTGATCAAGGACCCCAAAATATTTTGTATAATCACCAAACATGCAAAGTCCTCACCATTGGGCCCCTATACCTGTTTAACATCAAAAACCTTCCAGATATGCAACTCCCAATTCAAGAAATTCATTATGCACCCAGCAGCAACAATGACATTTGTAATTTTGCCCATTCAAGTAAGTAGATATCCAGCAGCAATAATGGCATTCAAAAGTGTAAAACCACATTCGAACATGTCAAGCATGCATAAGAACCCATCAGACCATGATATCGAACATTTTAGGAACACAGAATAGTAGGTTATTGGTGCCAAGATCCACATTTTCAAAAGTTGATCAACTACATAGTTCTGCTAGCCCAAACATCAAGAAGTGAACACATCCAGTAAACAGAATCTTCCATCACCTGCATCCAGTAGCCGTCGCCCCTCCAGTTCTTCAGCTGCAAGACAACATGAACATTGATCAATCAGTAAAAAGAAACCCCACAAGCATTTGCAATGCTCAGTGAATGTTGTGAATGTTGCATACCACAATTTTAAGCAGTCATTTCATCAAGATCGGAAACCTCCTGAACTCCTACGGTCATATGGTCCAGAACGGTCACGACTATATCGGTCACCTCCCCCACCACCACCAGAATCCCTACTACGTCCCCCAAATCGATCTCCATTCCTATCAGGACCATAACGCCCTCCACCACCGCCACTGCCACCGCCACCGCCATACCTATCATCCCTACCACCATACCTACCACCTCCTCTGTCTCCTCCACTGGGACATTCCCTAGCAAAATGACCTGGCTTCCCACACTTGAAGCAGTCTCCACCACCAGATCCGCGACCACCTCCATAATCACGGCTGCGATCACGATCACGACCACGGTCCCGGTCCCGGTCCCGGGAGCGATCGCTGTCATGATCTCTGCCAGATCCTTGGTGAGGCTGAGCTTTCTCAACAGTAATAGTCCGCCCATCTAAGTCCATTCCATGCATTGCTTCAATGGCTTCTTCCATTGTTTTCTTCTCATCAAAGGTGACAAACCCAAATCCACGAGAACGTCCAGAGAACTTGTCGACAGCAACCTATGCCAAAAAAAACATTACATGCATAATAATCTCAATGATGCTTTCAAATAATTTACTATATATAATAACCTGGAAAACATCTTCAACGACACCCCATTCCATTGAAACTATCTCACACTTTTTAATGCATGGAAACAAATATGGTATAAGAACAAAAATACGATATTACAATTTCTAAAAATATAAAGTAATGTTATTTCTACCAATCAAAAATAACTTCAAGAGTGGTGTATTAACCATGTCATCCAAATATATATGTGGCAAATTAAACATAATTTTAAAACGGGCATTTTTGTAGGTTTCTTCCAACATATTTGGTTATTTTTGCGCACACAAATTAAACTGTAAAACAACTATATCAAAAAAAAAAATTTCACACATTTATAAATTTATACATATTATGTATGTACATGTTACACATTCTTAGCATGTGTGGACATCGATACATGCATTTGATTGATCTAACTCCCAAGTATATAGAAAACCTATGAAGCATAGACACGCCAAAATGGAAGCCGTGGCGGTGTCGGATACAGGGACACGTACGGGACACGCCATTTGGCGTGTCCCTTTAATTAATTTATTTTTTTGGTATGGGACACGTCGGGGACACGGCGGCATATAGCAAGAGGACACGGCAGGGGAACAAAATAGAAAATCCTAATTCGAAGAAAGAGGAGAAGAAAAGCTAAATCCAAAATCAGAAGAAGAAAAGAGAGAAGAGAAATGCAAACCTATTCATCTCCATCTCGATCGATCGATCTATCTCGATCTCCATCTCCAGTCGATCTCTGTCTCCAGTTGATCTTCCATCACTTCTTAACCTGGTACGTCTCTATTCTCTATCTTCTCTGGCTCGCCTCTTCTCTCTCTCTCTCTTGCGTCTTCTTTTAACCCTTTCGTTTGCCTCTCTTCTTTCCCCCCTTTCGTCTACCCCTCTCTCTCTCTCTCAGACTGAAATGTTTCGTTGACCACCATTACTCAAAGATAATATACTATATATATTAATAGTTATTATATAACATATAATATATGTATAAGATAATATATAATATATGTATAAAATAATATATATTTATACATACTAATAAAATAAATAAAAAAACACATGTAAATAAAATAAAATAAAATAAATTAATTGGAACATATTATTTAAAAAATATAATAAATAAATAAAATAATTAATGTATATTAAAATAAAAATATTTATAAAAAAAAATTAAAAAATTTGCCATGTCCCCTGCCGTGTCCCCATTTTTTAGAAATTGCCGTGCCCCGTGTCCGTATGTGTGTCTGTGTCCGTGTCCGTGTCCGTACTTCATAGTAGAAAACAGAATACATAGACATATACTCTCCACACTATTGTAATTTCTACAAATATGGCAAGACTTGAAACGCTTGACCTTCTCATAAGATGCAGGGTTCTGGCCGACTAAGCTAGACACAGTTGATTACTACATAAGTTTTATAAAGTTGCATGGTATTCTTAAATTACCAAGCTTGTTGGGCATATGTCAGCTAATCATGTTACAAATATAGTGTTCAAGAAAGGTACTTCATGCAGTTCAAAGAATCCATGCAACATAGAAATGTGGATATATAAAATATACACAGTAAAACTTTAAATATGACATAATTTGTTTTTACGAAACTATAGAATAAAAAGAAAAGCAAGGAAAAGGGGAAAAAAATACAAAATTCAAGCCAAAATAAAATAAAAAATCCCAAGGAAACGTCACTCCACATGGTAGAAGTAGAGACAAAATGTCGTTTTCAAATGACAACCCATCACATAATCAGAGAAAAGTTGCTCAAGTGGCCCTAGTGCCAAATATACCACCAAAACAATTGATGTGTGAAAATTTTTCTAAAGAATCAAAAGAGAGTGATTTAAAATAAAATAAAATAAAATAAAATAAAATAAAAGAGACAAGGAAAAGATATTGGTAGATGAATTGCATAGTATATCATAATCCACAATGTAAAACACAATTTTGATGAGCACAAACAGATATTACCTTTGCCTCTAGAAGATGGCCGAACTTTTCAAATGCATCTTTTAGATCTCTATCAGATGTTGACCATGAGAGGCCACCAACAAAACAGCGATACTCCACTTCATCTGACATTTTTCAACTGTTTTTTGTTTGCAAGAAAAGAAACATTGAACATGAAGAAGTACCATGTAATAAATGATTGATCAGTGCACTAGTGTAAGGTAAAGGGAAACACTTGTTCATATCGAAAGTGCAGGCAACAAATCACTTCTAGACAGGCAACTGATTATGCTCAACTTGGGGAAATTTAAAAAAAAAAAAAAAAATTGAATAACAAATGATCAGCCTAGAAATGAACTATTTTTAGCAACATCTGCCATAATGAGGAATGTCACCAAAATAATAAATCATATGAGGAAGAAGATCAACAAACAGATACGATGTGGATATAGTTAAAACATATTATACAATAACAAATATATAATCAATGTATTGAATGAAGCGATAGGTGAACATTCAAAAAAAGTTGAATGTCCATAGAAATATATCAAGACCACTGTGCTTCTGCAGCATCGAAAATCAGCCCATGTTTTCATCTAGTGAATAATTAGGTCTATGTGTTCCTTAAGACTTGTTTATAACATAATCCATGTGTAAACACATTTCATTCTATTGCAATATCATTTACATATATAAACTCACCCTTGTTTCAATTCAGTTGTTGATAAAGTGTGGTTATATTGAAGGGTTGATTACAATTCACCCATGTTTTCATCTAGTGAATAATTAGGTCTATGTGTTCCTTCAGACTTGTTTATAACGTAATCCATGTGTAAAAACATTTCATTCTATCGCAATATCATTTACATATACAATCTCACCCTTGTTTTAGATATAGAGTGTGTTTATATTTCAGGGTTGATTACAATTTACCCTTTGTTCTAAAATAGATTTATAATCACAAAGAAAGGTTTCTTTTATGAAGGAATATGACAACCTGTTGATGGTTCCAGGATAGGTTCATGCACTATGAAGACCTTATATTGCCCCCCAAAATTTAATTTATACAAACCGTAGGATATAATTAAAGGTGAACTTATGATCATTTAAATTGCAATGGCTCTATTTGGTTGAGTTTTCAATATCTAATTTCTTTTTCATTTTTTTGGAAAAAGTAAAAACTAATTTAATAGAAATAAACAACGAAAAATATATTTAAAATTTCCAAAAATTATTGCTGCCTAAAAAAAAAGTGAACCATATGAAAATAATGAGTTTTTTTCACCAATGAGTTTAAATAATGAGTTTGTTTTTTTTTTTCATTTTTTAACCAAACTAATTTTTGGAAATTTTTCAAAAAAATAGGTTCTAAAAACTTAACCAAACAAAAGACAAAGCATTATAAATCAACGACACCCATAGATTTTTTTTAACATGAGAAGAAAAAGAGCTTGGCACTATATGAACATGAAAAGGAAAAAATAAAAAGAAATGATGATCAAGCATGCTTCAGAAATGGCTCAGACGCAGCCTACAAACACATTGTTTCTAGTGTACATGAGTGCGCGCAGACGTGCATGCATGTGAATGTGTGCATATTATTGCCCTTTCAACATTCTTCAAGTTGAAGATTTCTACTTTGGTTCTCAAGTGGTATGATACCAGCTATACAATACTCATGCAACACTAGGCATGTAAAAATTGAAGACCCACAGGCCTAGATTTTTTAAAATAAATTAAGAAAGAGAGAGAGAGAGATGGGTTGATTTTTAAATTTAATAAAAAAAGAAATTGCGATGTCCATCAATGTTTGCATTTCGCCCTAGACCACAAGGGGATTATGTGTCAGCTCCTAAACCCAAAGAAGGTTATGTGTTTTCTGGTTAAACAACAAAGGGGTAAATTGTAACTAACCCTATATTAAGTGCTCTATACCAAATTCAACAATCCAATCCCCAGAATACCCTTAACTAGATTCTGCTAAAAAAGGGCAGACACCAGGGTCTAGGGCAATATGTAAACCAGAATACTATCATAACCTCACTCTCATTCCAATGATTTCATCCTACAGTAAGATTCAAAGTCCCCTAATAATATCATAACCTCACTCTTATTCCAATGATTTCATCCTACAGTAAGATTCAAAGTCCCCCCTTCCCAATTTATACCTGAAGAACATCAGTAAATATCATAACATATTACTGTTACTAGAATTGCAAATCATTAGTGTAATTATGCACTTTACTATGCTCTTAAGTGACAGAAATCAATATCCTTGCAAACCCTCCTGGGTAGGGGTGAGCTGAGCCGAACTTTAGTATGTTTGGACTTGTGTATTAAGATTTTCACGAGTTTGAATTTGAACTCGAGCTCAATAAAAATTTAACGAACTAAGCTTGAGCCGAGTTGGCTCAGGCCTGACTCGAACTTGAGCCTGTTCACCAGCCTTAACGAGCCAAAAAAATTATAAATACATACTTGTGTACAACACTAAAGTTCTAATTAAAACTTTGATTATACAATTATATATACAATATATAAAACATACTAAAAGAAAAGTCAATATCTTATCAAAATAATAAAATCGACCACCACTATATAAATGTATTATCTATAGTTAGCTATTATTTACATTATTTAAATATATAAATAACATATTCGTCCTATTTTTTATACATATTTTTACATTATTTAAATAAATATTAAACGAACAACTAACGAGTTGAAGTTCAATATGTTTGGGCTTATTTATTAAGATTCTAACGAGCTCAAGTTTGAACACAATAAAAATTTGACAAACCGAGTTCAAAAGAGCCCTTACCAAGCCGAACTCAACCTTGTTCACAAACAACTCTATTCATATGCAGCCCTACTCCTGGGTTTCTCAATAGAGATTAATATAGTTGTCCCATAAATGCAGAATTTACATACAGCCAACAAACATGTACAACATCAGCTAATAAACACGTGATCACTTCCTCCTTTTTTCTCTAATTTCCCCCGTAACAGCCGACGGTGGCCAGACCACCATTGCCTACCCTTTCTGTGAGACATGAGCCACAACCATTGACCACCGCCTCCATCCCTACCCTCCCTCTCCTTCAGCCACTACCACTGACCATCGGCACCACCAACAATCACCGCTTCCCTTCCTCCCCTACCACCCAATTGTTGTATATAGGAAAATCCTGCTTTGGGAAACAAGAACAATTATTCAAGCGCTCAAGTTGTACAAAATCAATCAAAAGAAAGATCTTATTTTGTTTATTTTCATTGAACCCTTCAATTTAAAGAGGAACTATGATGCCATTAGACACTATTGTTTTTATTTCTTCTGCAAAATAGTCACAATTTAAAATTCCTCTCCAAAGCAACAACCGCCATTAACTCAAAATTCTGAAAAAAATTGTGAGAAATTGTTCTTTTTTTGTTGAAGAATTTGATTTACATGTAGTCTGTGGTGGTGGTGATGCCGGCTACGACTATTTCTACGGGAGAGATGGAGGTTGGAGGGATGGGAACAAAGGGGATGGTGGCAATCAGTGGTGATGGCTGGAGAGACAGGAACAAAGGGGATGGTGGCAATCAGTGGTCATGGCTGGAGAGATGTCGCATTGGTTTCTGACAAAAAGGGCAGGCGCAGAGGTGTTCTGGTCATTGGTTGTTGCTGGGAGAAATTAGAGAAGAAAGGATATGTTTTTAGCTGATGTGGTACATTTTTATTGGCGGTCTGTAAATTCCACCTTTACGGAAGAGCCGTACGAAACTTAATCTCTTTCACCTCTCATTCCTCTCAAAATTTTATCAAATATCCTGCAGATTATAAATTACTAATATTGCCTGACAAACTCCATAAATCCCAAATTTATCACTGTGATTCACATCAATAAACTAAAAAATAGCATCAAAAAAATTAAAATGATTCCTCACTCACCCAAATTCAATTTTCAACCAAGAAATCACAATATAAACAGACCCACAAGTCAACTGCGACAATAATCATAATATAACCAAAAGTCATTCGGATCAAATTCTCTAATTTTATCAGACCATATTAAATCCCTGTTTCTTTATCATGAATCTGCAATAGCTATCATCGTGAAATCACAACAACCCAACAAACAAAACAAACCATAATTAAAAACAACGTAATAGATCTGAAGCCAACACTTAGATCAGAAACAAATGACAAATATAGATCTAATCACAACAAGAACAAGAAAAACAAAAAAACAGATGAAGAGTAACGATCATGAATCAATGAAAATATTTCTAAAAATAACAAGTTAGTTAGAACAGGAATGTAAGAAGAGGAACAAAAAGCGAATGAATCGATAGGTGAATTAGGTACCAGAGGAACAGAGAGAAGTCAAGAGTCAGATCAGGAGAGAGGCACAAAAGGGGATTCTTGCGTTTCTTGGAAGTAAAGAACCCTAGGTCTCTTATTTATATGCATGTATAGATACAAGGGTGTGTATGTATAATCTTGTGGATATTTGTGGGAGAAGAGATCAAGTGGTTGCGGTTGTATTATGCCCTCATGGTATAACGTGGTCTCTCGGCCGTCCGATTTAGAATCTTGACCTAAAATATAGAGATGAAGAGTCGGTTTGGGATGTTCTAAAAAGGTGTACTTTTTAATTTATCGGCTTATATGGGTTAGGTTTTGGTTAGATTTGATGTGATGTGTTAGAGAGGTGATGTGATTTAAATAAGATGATGTGACTTAAATAGAATAATGACTTTTTAACTTTTTTAGGTTATGCCAAACCAACCCGAAATGATTTGAAGCCATGTAAAATTTTATGGCTTGATTGTTTTAGTTGACTATTTGATTTTTTAGTTTTTTTAACTTGATTAAAAAATTTACGTTTAGCCTGTGTTTGGCAAGTGGGTTTGCAGGCTTTTTTGGCTATTTTAGTCATAAAAAACAAAATAGCCTATTTTAGCCATAACAAACAAAACATCACATCCAACCCATAATCATTACATTCTTCTCTCACAAAAAAACTCAAAAAAGCCAAAAAGCCAAAAAAGTCCTTCCCAAACCAAGCTTTTAAGCCCAGGCTAAAATAGTCAAAAAAACCAAAAAACCAAAAAGTCAACCCACTTCCCAAACGGAGGCTTAGAAAGTTGATTTTCTTTTTTTATATAGTTAATTTGATGGTTATAAGAGGAAAAGTGAAATGATTATGTATTAAATGTCATATTTTATTTTATTAATTATTTTAGTCTATTTTTTATCTTTTAGTGAGTTATTTTAACCCAATCATCTTCCCAAATAGAGCCTCATATTGGCAACTACTTTAAGGTCACGTTTGTTTGGTTCCATAAGATGGAGGAGATTAAGGCCTCGTTTGGCAAGAGGCTATTTTAGCCAATTAGCCAAAAAGTTACTAAGGCCTCGTTTGGGAACAGGCTAATTTAGTAACTTTTTGGCTATTTGGCTAAAAAGGTAAGTAAAAAAAACTTGTATGTTTGGGATGACTTTTTGGCTAATTACGAAAAAATGTGCAAAAAGTAGAGAGAAAAGAGAATCTTTGACTTTTTCTTGACCTAAAATATAGAGATGAATAGTCGGTTTGGGATGTTCTAAAAAAGTGTACTTTTTAATTTATTGGCTTATATGGGTTAGGTTTGGGTTAGATTTGATGTGATATGTTAGAGAGGTGATGTGATTTAAATAAGATGATGTGACTTAAATAGAATAATGATTTTTTAACTTTTTTAGGTTATGCAAAACCAACCCGAAATGATTTGAAGCCATGTAAAATTTTATGGCTTGATTGTTTTAGTTGACTATTTGATTTTTTAGTTTTTTTAACTTGATTAAAAATTTTACGTTTAGCCTGTGTTTGGCAAGTGGGTTTGCAGGCTTTTTTAGCTATTTTAGTCACAAAAAATAAAATAGGCTATTTTAGCCATAATAAACAAAACATCACATCCAACCCATAACCATTACATTCTTCTCTCACAAAAAAACTCAAAAAAATCAAAAAGCCAAAAAGTCCTTCCTAAACCAAGCTTTTAAGCCCAGGCTAAAATAGTCAAAAAAGCCAAAAAACCAAAAAGCCAACCCACTTCCCAAACGGAGGCTTAGAAAGTTGATTTTCTTTTTTTATATTGTTAATTTGATGGTTATAAGAGGAAAAGTGAAATGATTATGTATTAAATGTCATATTTTATTTTATTAATTATTTTAGTCTATTTTTTATCTTTTAGTGAGTTATTTTAACCCAATCATCTTCCCAAATAGGGCCTCAGATTGGCAACTACTTTAAGGTCACGTTTGTTTGGTTCCATAAGATGGAGGAGATTAAGAGTACAGTAAAATTAGGTGAAGAGATTATTAGTGTAGTAGTATTAGATTAGAGCTGTAAGATAAATAGTTTTTGTTTGTACATCATCGTATTAGTAATACTATAGATAGTATTAATATATAAAATAATATTTTTTAACTTTTTAGTATTTTTTTAATGTTATAATTATTATTGTTAAACCAAACCAAATCTTAAATCTCATCAAATGGGGTCAATTGCATGAATCTTTATTTTCCACTCGACCCTATCCAAGACCATTTCGTTAGTCAAATTAAAAAGATTCATATCTCTATTTACTACACTATTCCACATCAACCTAGGTTTATCCCTTCCCCTAACACTATCATCTACTGTCACTGTATCGCATCTTCACTACTACTTTCTATTAGTCTCCGTTGTATATGACCAAACCATCTCAATTTATTATCTCTCAACTTATCTTCTATCGGTACTACTCCTACCCATTCTCGAATATACTTATTCCTAACTCTGTCTTTTCAAATACTAGCACACATCCACCTTAGCATCTTCTTATTAGTAACATTAATCTTATCTACATGTTGTTTCTTAGTTGCCCAACATTCCATCCTATACAATATCGTTAATCTAATAGTCGTTCTATAGAACTTTCCTTTTAATCTAATAGGTATTTGTTTATCACATAATACTCTAGACGTACTTCTCCACTTAAGCCATTCAGTCTTAATTCCATGGACTACATCCACTCCAATCTCCCTATTCATTGAGATAATCAATCCTAAATAATGAAAATGTTCACTCTTAAATAGCTCTTGGTTCTCAATCTTTACTTCTCATTTACTTCCATTGTGACTGTTACTAAAATTACACTATATATACTCTTTATTAATTATACTTATTCTAAATATTTTAGATTCAAATGTTTTTCTCTAAATCTCCAATTTAGTATTAACCCAATTTTTACTCTCATCCACTAACACGATATCATCTGCAAAAGACATATACTATGGTACATCATCTTGAATACTGCACGTTAATTCATCCATAACTAAAGCGAAAAGATAAGGACTTAAGGCTGATCCTTGGTGTAACCCTACAGTAATTGAAAATTCACTTGTCTCTCAAGCGGGCGATCTAATAGTGGTCACCACACTTTTATACATATCCCTAATTACATTAATGTAGCCTTTTGTCACCCATTTCTTTTTTAACACCTACTAAATTATATTCCAAGGTACACTATCAAATACTTTCTTAAGATCGATAAAAATTATACAAATGTCTTTTTCCTTTTTTCTATATTTTTTTATTACTCTCTTCAAAAGATAGATTACTTTCATTGTTAACCTACTAGTCATAAACCTAAATTGATTCTCTAACACCTTTATTATGTCTTGCAATTGACGTTCCATCACTTTCTCCCACACTTTCATTGTGTGATATATTAACTTGATGCCTCTATAGTTGTTACAATTCTAAATATCTCATTTATTTTTATATATTGGCACTAAAATGCTTTTTTTTTACTCTTCTGATATTTTCCTAGTCAACAAAATCTCGCTAAATAACCTAATCAACCAAACAACTTCCTTCTTACCCAAACATTTCAACGCTGCAATAGGTATATCATCGGGGGTCCTAAAGCCTTATTCAATTTAATTTTCTTAAGTGAAAACTCCATTTCAAAGTCTCTAATCCTACGATAGAACCTATAGTGTTGATTTTCCTTATCACTGCATACTTCCTGCCTTTTTGACCTACCTCTATGTTTCTCATTTAACAACTTTTCAAAATAGTTATTATACCTCTCATTAATCTATTCATCCTTCACCAACACCTTAGAGTTTTTACCCTTGATGTACTTAACCTAATTAAAATCTTTTATTTTCCTCTCTTTTATCTTAGTAAGTTTGTATATCCTCTTATTTCCCTTCTTGCTATCATAGGTCATCATAGACTTTCAATTTAGTCTCTCTTACTGCTTTTTTGATCTCCTTATTGGCCAGTCTGTAACGCTTAAGATTTTCCTCGGTTCTATCATTTTATCACTTTTTAAAGCAAAAAATATAAATATCACTTAAAAATCATTTAAAAATTTGTTAATACCCTCAATCAATTTCTAATCACAACCTCCACAATGGGATTGGTAGTCTCCCCGATGGAGGGATTACTAATCTAAGGGGATTATAGTTAATCCTCTCATTCATGCCTCCAACCAAACACTCCATAGGTGGATCTTATGAACTATTAGTCCAATCCTCCCTCCAAAGAGGCAACCGTTTCTATAACAGCAACTCTTGATCTTACTAATCTAAAGGTTGTTTTGGGATTTATTTATTTTAGTAGTTAATTTTTTTGATTTTTTATGAATAGACATTTAAAAAAAAAGAAAAGAAATTAGTTGACTTTTTTATAGTGACTTCTTGACTTTTTGAACAAAATAATCTATTACAAAACTCGTCTCTAGTTGTTGTGTTTGTTTGTTTGTTTTTCTTTTTTTTTAAACAGATAAAGCTATGTATTAAGAAGAATAGGGTATTATGTCCATATTTAGAGGTTTTGGGTTTTTGTAATTTGTATAATGGATGAGATTCATAATTTTAAAATGATAATATCATAACATATATCAATACATTAATTAATATACTAATTGGTACGTGTAATACTACTGAAAAATATTCCGTTGCCGCATATACGTTGTCTATATTCTGAAATAATTTGTTAGCACATTATATTAGGCTTTTGCTGTTATTAATTTAGACAAACATATTTAATTGAACTACATGAGCCAAAATGAGAAACTACATTAATGAAATATATCAACGTTAAATTAATAGTTTAGGAAATAAAATTAATTGATAAGTGCATCTCCAATTCCTCGTCAATTTCTGATTATTCTCTAATTTGATTTCAAATTTAAGTAAAAAAAATTGATTTGATATAAATTATTCCAAGCATTTCATCAATTTTTTTATCAAAACTTTATTTAAATTTTTTCTCTTATACCAAATTTCATTTTTCATCAAAATTGATTTAAAAAATGAGTTATAATGTTTTATCTTTTTAAATGTGTATCAAATTCAAATTTGATAATGGTTAGATGAGTTCTCAATTTGATTAAAAAAAAAAGTAAATCTTTCTTAGTCCTTGTTTGGGATGAGCTAATTTTAACCTAGCTTTTTGACTTTATAATTATTTTAGCCTGGCTAAAAAAGTTGTGTTTGAAATAAATTTTGGCACTTTTTATAGTTAATTTGATGATTATGAGAGAAAAAAATGAATGATTATGGTTTTGATATGACATTTTGTCTCATTGACTAAATAATCTTGTTTATCTTTATTGACTAATTTAATTAAAATAACTCATGCCAAACGAAACCTTAATTTGATGAATATTTGATAAAAGAATTGAATATAATTTTTAAATAATGTTTTATCAAATTCAAATTTAATAAAAAAAAATTGAGGAATTTACAGTCAAGTCTTATTTTGACAAATAATGATACCTGAGATCTTACAAAACTTTAAACCCATGAATCCTCTGTTAATTTTATATGACCAATCTATCCTTATAAATTCACAAATAATGATACCTGAGATCTTACAAAACTTTAAACCCATGAATCCTCTGTTAATTTTATATGACCAATCTATCCTTATAAATTCAAAAACACAAAGAACCGCATGATTTATTTATTGTTTTTGTTCTGTGCTCTCTCTCTCTCTCTCTCTCTCTTCACAAGTTCCAGATTTCTTCTCCACAAATTTCAAAATTTTCAACTTTTTTGTTCACAAATTCTAAAGTAACAAAACTAGAAGATCATCTACTATCATCAAACATTGATTCTATTGGAATATTTATAGATTCGAATAAGCGAAATGGCGAAAACAAGTAAGAGCTCTCATTGCAAGTGGTCTTCAACGAGCTCTTGAAGATCACTTCGTTTCCCGATACCCTAAGGTTTGCAAAACTATGATCGATGATGATGTAGATCGACTCCACAATTCGATATTTTCTATAGATGCGAACCTAGGAGAGAAGATCTTAATAGTTTCAAACATCGACAGTCCAAAACGTTTCTAAGCGTTGCTGTTATAGATCAAGAGATCTATTTTGATACTTTGATTGAAGTGAATTCAACTTTTCATATTCAAAGAAGCGAAATAGTGAAAACAAATAAGATTCAAATATCTTAAACTCTAGTTTTTTATGGAATATTTTTAGTTTCGAAACTTTTATTTTTTATTTTGATTTCAATTTCAACGTTGATTTTACCCTTATTCCAAATCTTCTCAAATTTCCAAATCTTCTCAAATTTCCAGTTCGTGAGAATGAAATAACCTATTTAATCTCGTGCTCTGTTTTTTTTTTTTTTCCTTTTCTCTCTCAGTTAGCGAAACAACTATTTAAAACATTGTTATGTAATAATGTTCTCAGTTTTAAAATAGAAAAAAACTAATAATATTTTTAATTTTACAGAATAGTCGAATCAAAGAGCAAAAACATAAAAACGTTTAATTTCATATTATGTTTTTTTTTTTCACAGTTAACAAAATAACTATCTGGAATATTGCTGTGCAAAACTGATAATATTATCAGTTTAAAACTAGAAAAAAACTAATAATATTCACAGTTTTATTGGATAGTCGAGTCAAACCAAAGGATAAAAGGGCAAAAAGTCATTATATATATATATATATATCAAAATAGGACTTATTGGTTAAAAAAATCTTAAACAGGACCTGAGTTATCACATTATTTGTGAATATGATTTTTAGATAATTAACCCAAAAATATGAAAGATTAGAGATGGTAAAAAAAAAAAAAAAAGATAATCCAACGAAAGGGAGGTAAAAAAAAAAAATTACAAATTCATAAAAATACAACACTTATTTAAACAATTTTAGTGGGTGATTGAGGAGTTACTATTTTAGTTTTTGACTATTTTAATAGGTTAAAGTTTTTGTATTTGGAAAGATAGATTTTTTTATAGTTGAATGTGATGTTTGCAAAAAAATAAATAAAATGATTATGAGTTTGATGTGATATTTTATTTTATTAACTATTTTAATTTATTTTATCATTTTATGAATTTTAATCCAAAAAATCATTGCCCAAACACCCCCGCATAAATCCCATATATTTTAATGCGTTGAAATTATTTTTCATACAAAAGAAAAAAAAGAATAATGTTATAAAAATTAATTAATATATTAACTTGTATATTAATTAATGATATATCTTAATTTAATTTTTTTTAATATTTATAATTTATATAAGTAATATTAATAACAATATCAGGATTAGTAGATCAGTTAATATATTAATTAGTTGATGTACACCACCCAAATTGGGCAGCGAAACCCTCCTCCACATTAACGGCCCCAGTGGATTGATTGAGGGTTTTGGGTTTTGGGCTTTGGTCGCTTCATTTGTCTCTCCACCATCTACCTCCGTTGCCGGTGTCCGGTGGCCACCACCAGCACCACCACTCTTCTCCGCCACGGTAGTGGTATCTTTTTACTAACACACAGCAATTGAATTTGTTGAGAAAAAGGGAAAAGAAGAAGACGAAACCACAGAGACCAAAACAGAGAAAAGCCAATTATGTGGTATTTGTGCGTGTTCTACCACAGATTGTTGGATTATCGGAAACCCGAAGTCGAATCTCTCGCCGAGCTCTTTGGAGCCTTCAATCTCAGTGACAGTGACAGTGACAATAGACATGTTGAAAACAATGGCAACCCAGAAAACAATTCTCTGCAATGGAGGCTCCCTCAGCACCATCACCCAGACTCTCCATTCCACTTCGTTAACCTCCCTTCCGACGATATTGCCCGCAAAATTGCCAATCGAAGTGAGTCATACCCATTTAATTTTTTTATTTTTTTTAATCTTTTTTTGGGCATGTTGTATGGTTGTTTATCACTGTATAGATTGTTTTGTTCTGAAATGATAAAAGGGTAAGTAAAGGAAATGAGGTTGGAGTGATTGAAATATATGTGTTGTGTGTTTACTAGCTTATATTTTAGATGTATTTTGTTGGCACAATATGAAACTTGTATTTGGGTTAGGGTTGGTCATGGATTATGGCAATATCAAATTAACAAATTTATTGATTGTTTACCTGCTGCACAAGCACGACAGATCGTGGTTAATTTCTCAGTTATTTATAATCCATTTCCTAAGCCTCCATATGCATTTATTCATTACAAAGATAAAATGAAGTGGTTATGACTTATGAGACCAAAGACATTAGCTTTCTAATTAAAAATAATTTCATCTTTGCTATTGCCCACACAGTTTATCCACCTATTCCTGTAAGTTTGCATGGGGAAGTTTGGAAATCAGACATTGAGAGGCTAGTTATTACTCTGAGCTGGTTTCAATTGATAGGCTGTTGTTGAGATGCTATCTTTTAATTTCATATGTACTGCAGTATGTGTATAGGTGTTTAGGGCTCAAAGTCAGTCTAGCTGGGAATACAGGGGAACAAATTGAGGTCCTTTTATGTAGCTTTGCTTGGTGATGATGGTTCTTCTTTCCCTTGGAAATGGGTTTGGTCGGTTGGTGTTCTGACTAAGGTGGTTTTCTTTGTTTGGAATGTTGTTCATGAGAAGATACTTACCATTGATAATGTTATGAAGAGACGTCATGTTATAGTCAATTGGTGCTGTGTATTTAAATGTGATGAAGAGAGTGGGCCACACCTGCTTTTGCATGGTAAGCATGGTAAGCCTCCAAGGGAGTTGTGGGATTTCAGGCTTGTGATGTTTGTAATATTTGGGCCTTTCCTAGAGGTTTAGTGGATTTTTTTGCATACTTGGTGGAGTGGTAGGGTACAAGTAAGAATAAGAGGAAAACTTGGCTCTTGACACCCTTATGCCTCTTTGCGTGTCATTTTGGGGAGACTTTTTGTGTAGTTGATGAACCTTTGTACAGGTTGATGAGTTGTTTTGTTGCTATTTTATGTAGTTGGTAATTAGGGGGGTCAGAGATAACGTGGACCAATTTTTGGATTTTGTTGACAGTAAAGACTCGTAAGTAGTATTCCTTTTGAGGGCTTTGGTCTTCTTTTTAGATATTCTGTAAATGGGTGGCTCCCCTTGATATATATATATATATATTTAATTCACTCACTTTATTATTTATAAAAAAGAACATTTAAACAAATGAAATTAAAAAAATGAGTAGTGAATTATTGTCAGAAGTTATTGTGTGTTGCCAACTTGCCAGAGAAGTTTCAGTGCCTATTCTTCCTTGTACTATGTGGATTGTAACAAACACCATTCGTCATCCTCTATTGGTACACTGTTGTCATGTATGATGCAGTTGAGTTTGTAGACTATTTGTGTGCTTTCTACTTCATAAGGAGAGTCATTATTTTTCTTTCCTACTATAGTAAACTTATGTAGTAAAATTATCTTTGCACAACTGAAGTGGATATTATTAGATAGTACTGCCCAATACTTTTCATTGGCAGATTGTTAGAATTTACCAATTTACTCCTCCACCTACCATCTCCACTAGCACCCACTTCACCTACCACCTCCACTACACTACACCTACTACCACCTTCTCTTCTATATATAGGAGTTGTAATACATAACACAATATCAATCAATCTTGTAATACATCAAGATATCCATCAATAATACAATTTATTCTCTTTCTCTCTCTATCAATATTACTAACATAAGAAAATGAGTAGTGAATTATTGTCAGAAGTTATTGTGTGTTGCCAACTTGCCAGAGAAGGTTCAGTGCCTCTTCTTCCTTGTACTATGTGGATTGTAACAAACACCATTCGTCATCCTCTATTGGTACACTGTTGTCATGTATGATGCAGTTGAGTTTGTAGACTATTTGTGTGCTTTCTACTTCATAAGGAGAGTCATTATTTTTCTTTCCTACTATAGTAAACTTATGTAGTAAAATTATCTTTGCACAACTGAAGTGGATATTATTAGGCAGTACTGCCCAATACTTTTCATTGACAGATAAATAAAGTGGATAAAAAAGACACACCTTAGAGTCATACACGAAATATTATGAAACATCTGTACCTCAATTGGTGTCTCTCAAGCCGGGCATATTTTTAGTATACCTAAACTACCTCATGCTCAAACACCTTTGCATTCTATTTTGACTCGACCATAATGGTAAAACAATGAAACTACTTAAAAAACCACCTTAGCATCCTTTTCCAGAACCACTATCCCTCTTTTGTTAAATGCAGCATCACAACCATTAGTTGGTTATATATATATACATAGTGACACACATATATACATAAAGGGGTTTACTAATTTGGGCTTCATAGAAGGTATAGAGAGAACATGAGAAGAGGTGAGGAATATTTATGTGCTAAATATGATGAAATTACACACACATTGCTTGTGCAACAATGGTTAGTAAAAAATATAAATGAAATCAAGAAATATGACCAATAAGTTCAAAATAGATGTAAAATCAAAATTATAGATACGAGGGATGTAAGGTTTTTAGGAAAGAGTCTTTTTTGGGGATGTTGCATTACGTCTATCTTGTTTCGCAATTCATATTGATTTCATTTGGCTGTAGCTCCATCAACAACCAAATCCTAGAGTTTTCAAGTTTTTCCTACATATTTTACATCATGCAAAGGCTTATGTAGAAACAATCTCATAAGAATGTCTAGTTATATTGTTTGCCAAAAACCACTGCGCCCTTTATGACTTTAGCAATTGCAGGTATACTTGTGAAGGGAGTTTATGAACTTTGGGGAGAAGGAAGTACCTATAAGGAGCTTGAAGAGGCTATAAAAGCTTATCCAGATGAGCGGAAATTGCCATACTTGACTTCTGAGAGCACATTCAAGATTACTGTTGATAGCTTTGGCAAGGTTATCAGCTTTGAGGAGCAAAATGATCGCATTCGGGGTTTCTCTTACATCCCTTTCAAGGTTTGGTTTCTTATATGATTTTTCCTTTAACTTTGGAAGAGGCTGGAGTAGCTGCATAATTAAGTATACTGAATTTGCTCTCCTTGGGCATTTGCTATACTTTCTATTGGAGGATGACATGAAAAACTCTATGTTTGGTGCATGTGCAGCCTCTAGATTCCTCTGTTCTCTGCATCATCACTTGAACTTTTGTTTTATCTGCTCAATCAGGTGCCAAAGTTGAAGGAAAATTTAATTTCTGTTCTGATCTGAATATGTAACCTGTGTAAGTAATATGTAGTGGGTTAGGTTAGTGGGTTAGGTTTAGTGTACATTAACATGTTTTTTTCTTGAGGGGTTCAGTAAATCAAATCCAGTTCTGGTAGGGCTTTAAACTGTTGGTTGGGACCTAAAGTTTTCTTTTTGGGCCTTAAGTTTATATTTTCAGTAGTAGAGAGAAGATAGGCTAATTAGATCAAGTTTAAGGAATAAAAAGTCACATGTCCGGGAAGGATTTGTGATTTTCTTGTTATCTTTGTACCAATTCTTCTCCAGTTGGTCATGTGGACCACTGCTTATTTGAAGTTCTATAGGTTATCTTTATTGAGTAAGAATTTAAAATTTATGATGTATTTATTGATGTGGAAATTAAATGTTTGTGAAGTTGAAATGTCCTTAATTTGCTTTTCTATATGCTGATAAAAAATTATTTTATTTTTTATCGCTCTACTTAGTTGTACTTTTTGATATTTTCTTTCCCTTCTATGAAAAGCTCATTATTTAAAAAAAAGAAAAAGAAGAGTACTGGAAAGATATTAACAAATAACAACAAATTGCATGAGCCTTGGGCATTTGCTATGCTTTCTATTGGAGGATGACATGAAAAACTCTCTATGTTTGGTGCATGTGCAGCCTCTAACGGCCTCTGTACTCTGCATTATCACTTGAATTATTGTTTTACCTGCTTAATTGGGTGCCGAAGTTGAAGGAAAATTTAAGTTTCTGTTCTGATTATGTAATTTGTAAGTAATATACGTAAAACTATATAGGTGGGAAATTGCTTGCTGTGTTCTTCATGATGCTTCTTCTCTTGAGGGGTTCAGTTCATCAAATCCAGTCCTGGTAGGGCTTTAAAGTGTTGGTTGGGATCTAAAGTTTTGTTTTGGCCTTAAGTGTATATTTTCAGCAGTAGAGAGAAGATAGGTTAATTAGATCAAGTTTAAAGTGTAAAAAGTCATATGTCCAGGAAGGATTTGTGATTTTCTACTTCTCTTTGGACCAATTCTTCTCCAGCTGGTCACTGCTGCTTATTTAAAGTTCTACAGGTTATCTTTATCGAGTAAGAATTTAAAATTACGATGTGTGTATTGATGTGCAAATTAAATGTTTGTGAAGTTAAAATGTCCTTAATTTGTTTTTCTATATGCTGATAAAAAAATATTTTCTTTTTTATTGCTATAGTTAGTTGTCCTTTTTGATATTTTCTTTCCCTTCTTCCATGAAAAACCTGTTAATTAAAAAAAGTAGAGTACTAGACAGATATTAGCAAAGAGTATTGCAAGATACTTTATTGAATCTTGTGTATCTAGAAGAGATTAAAAAATATAACTTAATTGCTAATGATTTATTATTATTTATTTTTTAAAAATCTGTGGTTAACAGTAGACGTAGTAAGAATTAACAAAATTTTTAAAACAAGAAATGTTGTATATTGTAGATTGAACCACATCACTACAGAGAATATTGGTAATGCTACTGATAGATATCTTGACATTTAAATAGCTTATCTTCATAATCAATTTATTGATAATATGGAAGGTTTATCAAAAAAGGAAATATATTGATAGTGTTGAGGATATTGTCAATATGTTGATATCTGTAATCTATTTTGATGCATTGACGAATGTTAATATCTATTGCGTTGGCAAGAATAGGCCATCTTGGCTTAACTCCTCCCCCTAAATTAGTAAATTGCTAATATACCCCGTTATCAATTTTTATTTCCTTAAATAACTGCTCATATATATAGCAGGCCCCAGGGTTTTGTAAATTCAGACCCTGCTCTCTCTTTTTTTTGAAAGCCAACAAGAAGTTTTATTAAAGAAGAAAGTGTGGAGGACAAGAAGTCCTCATACAATGAACAAGAACCCAATCAGAAGAAAACAGTTATCAAAAAAAGAAAGAGAAAATCAGAAAATCCAAACATTAGGGGTTGCAAACAGCAAACCAATCCCTAGAAATCAAGATAAGTGGAACTCCTTTAAACGGAGGAGACACAAAAGCCCAAAATGAAGACACAAAACCAGCCCTATCCCACAAAGAATCTATAGTAGCCTCCTTTCCATCAAAGATCCTTGAATTCCTTTCCAGCCAAATAATCCAGAAAATAGCACAAACAATACAAGACCACAAAGTTTTGTCTTTCTTATAGCCGCCGAACTCATCAAACTTAATAAGAAGCATATGTGTGCAATCCCGTGGGGCAGCCCATTTAACATCACACAAACCAAATAGACGCTGCCATAATTGCATAGCCACCGAACAATGAAGAAAGAGATGATCCGCCGATTCTGAACTCCTCTTGCACATCACACACCATTGAGGGCAAAGATAGTGATTATGCCTTCTCCTTTGGAAAAGGTCATTGGTCATGACACCTCTATGAGCTAAGGACCACATGAAAAACTTCACTTTATGAGGAACACCCGCTTTCCAGATTTTCATATGAAGAGGAAACAAAGGAATGGAGGACTTATCAATGAGATTGTTAAACAAAGATTTACAAGAAAAGATCCCCGAAGAACTGATATTCCATACCCTTTTATCGGGAGATGAAACTAAAGAAACCCCATCAATTAATGTCAACAAAGATGCCAACTCAAGAGACTCCCTATCACTTAGATTCCTAAGGAAATTGAAATTCCAAGAGATTGGTGTCACATTAGAACATGCCACCGACGCAATTGACACATTTTGAACATGAACCAATCTGTATAAAAGTGGAAAAGCTTTGTCAAAAGATGTCTCCCCCACCCAAACATCCTCCCAAAATCGAATACTGGCCCCATCACCCACTTTCATAGACACAAATCGAGACACAATGGGAAACAAACGAGAGATAGACTTCCACGGAGAACGACAATTGCTTCTGTTAACCACAATAGAATCTCTACCATTAGCCTGAATTCCGTACTTGCTTTTAATAATAGAACACCATAAAGACTCACTTTCCTCGGGAAATCTCCACAACCATTTGCTCAAGAGGGCAATGTTTCTAGCAACAATGTTCCCAATAGCAAGACCCCCTCTACGCCGAGGAAGAGAGGCAACCTCCCAACTGACTAAGTGATCCCTTTTACCCTCATCACACCCCTCCCACAGAAAATCTCTCAACAATTTCTCAATTTGCCTTGCAAAACGAACCGGTATCTTGAATAGGGACAAAAAATAAATAGGAATACAACTTAATACTGATTGTACCAAAGTGTATCTCCCACCCCGAGACAACAATGCTCGCTTCCAACCCTCCAATCTTTTTCCAATCTTAACAAGGATTAGATTCTAAAAGGCCTCTGTTCTAGGATCGCCACCCAATGGGAGCCCCAAATACTTGAGAGGGAGCTTCTCAATGGGACAACCCAGCACATCTGCCATACGAAGCTCGCAACTACGCTCAAGATTAATACCCACAACACAGCTCTTAGTGAGATTGACCTTAAGGCCGGATACAACTTCAAAGATCCTCAAAAGCATGAGAAGATTACAAACCATACTTTCCTCCTTAGAAGAAAAAAATATGGTATCATCTGCAAACTGCAAATGAGCCACACTAATCATATCTCTACCCATCACAAACCCCTCAATAACCCCTTTTTCCCTAGCAACATCAATTAACTTTCCCAACACGTCAACCACTATGATAAATAAAAACGGTGATAATGGGTCTCCCTGCCTTAATCCCCAAGACGCATGAAAAGAATTTCCCGCTGTCTCTCTCTGTCTGTCTGTCTCTGTCTCTCTCGTTTGGTGTGGGTACCTTGATAACATTGATGCTGTTATGATGTACCACCATCAACGACACCACTGCTTTTTCTCTCCACTTTACGATGGGCCCAGCCCAGTTGCTGGTGTGTTTGTGCCAAATAAGATGCCACATGAGATGGTATAGAAATATGGTAGAAAAAGATGGTCAATGCAGCATTATTGTTACATAAATCTCATTTTGGAAGAGGCCATTCAAAGATGGTAAATTGGTGAGGGGTGTTTTTGTGTTAGGTCTAGGATTCATTAGTTGCCAAACAACCAAAAGGAAGAAAAGGACAAAATTTTGTTCTCATGTACAATAGTGCTCATGAAGTTTCCTTATTGTGATTTACTTTCATATACCATGCATTTTTTCTTTTTTCTATTTGTTTTTTAAAATTTAAAATTGCCTCGAATTTCATGCTTTCTGCTCCAGTTTTATGTTATAGCCTTAATAATGATCTGTCTATTTGACACTGTTTGCTTGGATTATGCTTCTTTTGCACCGTCCATCGCTTTTGGAGAAATTTCAATATATTTCAATAGACAACCTGGTGGTTACAACTCTATTACAGATGAGGTTTTTCAAATTACATGTACTTGAATTAATGAATATGTCTTAACTTTGCAATTTGCATGATTGCAGCGTTCAAGCTTGAAGAGTTATCAGTTTTAATGTATTCTTGCTGGTTGTTACTAACTACTAAGTCAATTTATTTCAGGGTCGAGTCAATTTACGAAATCCCGATCACAAGTTCTGGCTCATGGAAACTGATGACTACGGGGTGAATAATGGTCTTCCACCTGTTGTCCAAAGGAGAATGTTTTTTGGTCGAGAGGTTGGTACTGCGGATAGGAAACTCTTGCCCACCTATCAGTTAAAAAGCCGTACCTATCTTGGCCCAACAGCCATGGACGCAGAAATGGCTTTTCTGATGGCTAACCAGGCATTGGTTGCACCAGGGAAGCTCGTTTATGATCCATTTGTTGGCACTGGGAGCATTCTTATTGGTGCAGCTCATTTTGGAGCAATGACAATGGTTTGCATTTTTTCCGCTCTTTTGTTGAACTCTTTAGTTATTATGTATATTCTGCACCTGATACTTTTGCTTTGGGAAACTTACATGATTGATTTCAGATACTTTTCCTTGCATATCAACTGATGTAAATTATTCAGGGTGCAGACATTGACATTAGGGTAGTACGTGATGGTCGTGGACCTGACTGTAATGTTTGGAGCAATTTCAAACAGGTGAATTTTTGCTACATACATGCCATTGAATTTACCTTTTTTTGGTAATCTTTAATTGTTGTATTTATTGAATCATTTTTTAATAATAAAATATTGTATTTCAGAACTGCCCATTTCTGAATATTTGTCTACTATGCATGCTTCACTAACTATGCTCATCTGTTCATGCTATTTTGCAGTATGGATTACCAATGCCTCTCGGTCTGTTAAGGGCAGACAATAATCTTCCTCCTTGGCGACCTGGGTTAAAAGAGGTAATTTTTTGTTCACTGCAGTTGGTCTTTTTGAATCTTTCTGTTCATGTGGTATATCTGTAGCATTTTTTAATAAAAAAATTGCTGTGTCCTTGAACCTGAAGTTTTTGATGTGTTGGACTTCGTCTTCGATTTGTCTCATGCTATATATTTTGGGAACTGTCTACTCCATTCAATAAATCTTATGCAGTTTTCTTGGTGAATTTCATGTATCTGACTGTAAGATTTAACATTTTCATAAGTCGGGCTTTTATTATGTTCTATGAATTAATATGATATCTGATATAATGATTTTTCTGAAAATTAAAGACACCATGAGAAATGCAATTCTATTTGTTGGGGTCTCTCAAACAAAAAACTTAGTTGGGTTGCTATTATCCTAGTTGAAGGTTTGGGATTCTGTTTCATAGTAATATTATTAGTCTGGAGAATGGGTGCAGAGAAGTCAAGTCAGCCACAGTCTATTCCCTCTGTTTGTTACTTCCTAAGATATAAACAAATGGTTTCTTATTGCAATTTCAAACAGAAATTTCAAATGTGTATTTAGAGTGGTACTCTCAAAATGTATGGCTAGTACAATTATAGCACCTGCATCTGCACACTTGGTGCTTGTGATTGTTTAATGTTTGTCAATTATACCATGTTATACTACAATTTATTTTATTTTATTTTATTTTAAAAAATTGTTTTTACTTGAATGTCTTTTTCTATTCCACGAAATCAAACCTAAATTGTTTTATTTGTGGGATTTTAAGATTCATCTTATTGTCCCTTGAGTAAATGTGTGCAGAACCAGTAATTTTATTTGTTTTTGTTTTTAAATATCTTGCATTAAATACAGAGTGATATTTCAAGTTGGGATGTATCACGAAATAAATTTCAGTGAAAAGAAGTTATTATACCTAATGTTTAATATTTATTACTTATGTTTGCAAAAACATGATAATTAGAAGTGACTTTAGTGAGGGCCTTTAGCAATGATATCCACTTTATTTAATGCTTCAAACATATGTGCTATAGAAAGATATGACTATGCCCACCCCCTTCCCCCATTTCTTCAAATGGCGCCAAAAAAAAAAAAGAAAAAGAAGCATACAGGAAAAAAAAAAAATCTACAAACCTAATGTTGTTACAGTGTGGTTTCTCCACCTCTAGCAATTAATTATCCTTTTTGATATGAATACTTCTGGTGGAGCGGATTGAATGATGGAGACATGATTGATTTGATTGCTAATATTTCTCCCTAGTAGGCAGGTTGACAAATACTTATTTGCTTGGTTGTTTTCACAGCATTGATTGACTTCCGCTGCCTTCACAGTTTTCCCTTATTGAACAAGTTTCTGAATAACATATTGATGAAGTAATTACTCCGGGAGGGGGGTAACCCTCAAGGAAGTTAACTAATTATCTGTTGTAGATAGAAGGGAAAAAGAAAGGATAGTCAATAGATTTCTAGCGAAAGTTTATTAGCTAATGCGGCTTGATTATGCTAGTCCAACTCCATAAATTTGTTATCTATTTAATTATGTTTACTAATATTAAGTAATTGTGCAAATTGTTTTGTTTCCCATCCTGAGAAATTTCCTTGTTATGTTGGAAATTTTCTTATTATGTTGGAAATTTTGACTGGCTGCTTGAATTCGGGCAGTTTTATAAACCTGCGTATTCTTGCAAACTTCAGATTTAAGTATTTTACTAAGTGCCAGATTTTGGCACTTAGACTTCATTTGTATAGGTAATAGGAAAATTGATTCTGAACTTAAAGTTAGTGCCTTGAAATGAGTTTATGGTGAATTGGTGATCAGGACCCTATACTGCCCATTTACTGCTTATAATAGAGAATTATAAATTATGATTATCACTGCATTTGATAAGAGAGGAAACACTCTTTTTGGCAGTGGGATATATATATTTAATGAAAATTGGAGTATTGCACCCTTAAATTAGCATATCTTGCTTTAATTTCTCTGGACTTCGTATATAGTTGAGTAAAGCAAAAATCAAACATAGTACTGCATACGAATGAGAGCAATGTTATTCACTTCTACAAGTTGAATATACGAGTTTATTTCCGCATGTTATCTCTGAAATGGAATTAAGTAAATGAAATTGGTAATACTTTGAGTAATAAAAAGTGGGGCGTGACATCTCCAATACCCTCATCCAGCTAGGTTACACGGACTCAGGTATGAGTATCGGGTGCGGGTGCATATTTAGGGGTCGGACACTTCAAAATTAAAAATTAAGGATACGTGGATATATATCCAAATTTGGATACGGGTACGGGGATACGTTAAATAGTTTTTTTTTTTTAAATATATATTTATTCTATGAAGATGAGTTATATTATATAAATAACAAATAAAAATCTATGGAGATGAGTTATATTATATATATATATATTTTATAAATATTTTTATTTTAATATACATTAATTATTTAATTTATTTATTATATTTTTTAAACAATGTGTTCTAATTAATTTTTTTATTTTATTTTACATACATGTGTTTTTTTTTTTATTAATATATATAAGTATATATTATCTTATAAATATATTATATGTTATATAATAATTATTATGTAATATATAATAATAATAGTTATTATTATTTATTATTCAGTTCCTTAACTATTATTATTATTATATATAAACTATTATTATTATTATATATAGATAGATACGAATAGAGATAAGAGATATGAATCAACAGAGACGAACGACAGAGACAGAGGGAGAGAAAAGCGAAGCCATCAATCGCGATCGCGAGCGCGAGGGAGGGAGAGAGAGAGAGAGAGAGAGAGAGAGAAAGGCTTTTCGAAGTCGTCTGGGTGTTCGGTTGTTCGATCGACTGATGGAGCTGCGATCTTCGACTGGATCGAAAGGATGGAGCTCAATCGAGGTCTTCGATCTTCGACTGGATCGACTGGTTCGACCAGGTTCTCTCTTGCTCTCACCTCTTTCATTTCTTTTGCACTGTAAAGAGCCGTGTCCGAGAGAGAATAGGCGAATCCGACACAGATCCCACACCCGCACCCGTGTCGTGTCGTGTCGACACGGGTACTTCGCCCCAAAGTGGCGAGTCCATGTAACACAGAAGTACATTATTAAGTTCCTCTGCAGAATTTAATCACATTTTGTTTACTGAATGCAATGTGAGCCAGATTACTTATTGTTTCCCAACGTATTCTTTTTTCAATATCTCAATTTAGTTGATAGATGTGTCAACTTTGTTATTCAGGGCATATATATATTTTTTCTAATAGGTGCAGCTCAATCATAAGATTTTGCATTTGGCTATTTGAGAACTTAAATTGACTGCTTTAGAAACTCAATGTGGCATATTGTGGGTTTTCTTTTGTGTCATGTTATCTGCTTTTTACTCTCAGCTCACTGCTTTATCAGTTAAATTTTCTTTGAATTATGTTATGGTCTTCTTATTGATGGTTATTTTGCTCTGGGTTCTGTTTTGGTTTTGAATACTTCTCCTGTTTATGGAAGGTGTTTGATGCCATAATCTGCGACCCGCCTTATGGGGTTCGTGCCGGGGGACGCAAATCCGGTGGTCGAAAACTGCTGAAAGGAGTTGTGGGTCCCTACACTGTTCCCGATGATAAGAGAACAAATCATATACCATCAACTGCTCCTTACAGCTTAGTCGAATGCGTGCATGATTTGCTTGATGTTGCCGCTAAGATGCTTGTGATGGGCGGGCGCCTTGTGTTCTTCTATCCCATTCTAAGAGAAGACGATACAATCGATACCAACTTCCCTGAACACCCATGTTTTAAATTGGTTGCTTCTTGTGAACAAATCCTAAGTTTTCGTTACAGTCGTGTATTGCTCACCATGGTCAAGATTGGACCGTACACTGAGGAAGTTGCAGAGACAGCAAGGATCAAACATCTGGAATTCAAGGAGAACCATCTAAAATGGTTAGAAGAAGGCAATCTTCGGTCTGCAGTTTTCAGCCCTCTCGACACTCACCTCGGTGGGGCAGGTGATGCTAAACCTAGCAAGGACTCGAAGCCTAAGTATAGAGGAAAATATGTGTAGTTCTACAGTTTGAAAGCATTCTCTTCATAAGCTTAAAGAATTTATGCCATTTTATGTCATTACTGACAACTTAGGCTCTAGATGTCGTGTATTTTACCATGCTCGATAGTCTGTAACTTTTTTTTTTCCTTTTTCTTTGAGAGATGGACTGGTTTTTTTGATTTCTGGCTGAGAACAAATGCTAAGCTCTTAGTTTTGATATTTTTATATGGCGGTTTTTTCTGTTCTATTTTATCTGTTTTAGGGTTTACATATGATTGAAAATGCTTTCAAATTTTAATATACCAGTTGGAGAGAGCTTCGATGATAAACTAGGCCTTGTCAGTGTCTTTTCATCTCTATACTTAGGAAAATTCTATTCTTAATAGAATTATTATACCAATTTCTCCACCAAAACCTTGTAAGTTCTTCATGGATCCTTTCTTAGTGTTAGGGTGATTTCTCTCCCTTACCTTTCCATTTTTTTATGGATCCGGTTAGAAATTTGTTTATGTCTAGTTGATTTCGTGGTATTCACTATGAGTTCCACTTCGATGATTTGATAATCTATATATAAATTTACAAGATGAATTATTTGAATCATCAAAGTGAGACTTGTGATGAGATTGACTTTTCAAATGTAACATAAATTGCATATGAATCGATTATCTTTTAATTCATAAAATGAAAAACCCTAGATTCAATTGCATAATTTAAAAATATCCATTTCTTCTTTATTTTTATAAGGTCTATTTTAGGCTCGTTATAAATCTTAAAAAGACATAAATAAATGAGAAGGCAATAGAAAACTCTGAATGATTTTTTCCATGAGCAAACTCGTGTAAAAAGTCATGATGTTAAAACGTGTAGTTTTGAATAGAAAATTAGGCAAACATATGGTCCATCATTTTAATGTTTGTGTTGCATCAATTTATGAGCTTTCCTCAGTAGTTGGACCTTAAGATGAATCGTAAGGAATGGTCTGTCTCTAAATTATTTTGTTTTTCTATCTTAAAATATTAACAATTATTAAATTATAGAGAGATAGAAAAATTTAGAAGTAAAAGAATCATTGGCCAAGATGAGCATTCTCACTAATTTTGTTTGACAACAGTTAAAAATGTCACATATTTTTCAAACTTTTTATCTTTACTGATTTAAAAAAAAATATTTGTACTTTTTAGGTCCTTATAACTTAGAAGGTTCTAAAAAGTAAAAATTGCAAAAAAATAAATAAAAAAAAATAAAAATAAAATTAAGTTATTAGAGCGTCTCTAATGATTTACCATTGGAGCTACCATTGCTATAATATAACAGCAGTGGTGCTCCAATGGTGAATATAGCCGTTGCCAAATTTGGCAAATGCTAAAGTTTGTGTTAAATTTGACACAACTTTTGACAGCTGCCATATTTACCAAATCTGCCAAAATCAACTATTTCCCTCTCTCCCTCTCTCATAGCAAAGTAGATAATTTTTTTCAAAATCGCCATTTTTGCAGAATCAAATACAAAAACTGGTGTGTTCAGAATGACTGTCTGAATATGTTTATTTTTGCCAAAATGACATCTGACCATTAAAGCATCATTGCTATGATTCTACTATTTTCTACAATTCATTACTAAATTATAGCAATGACAATACTATTATAGCATTTATCATTGGAGATACTCTTAATTGACTATTTCATTTTTAATTTTTTTTTTCTTCTTAATTTTTAGTGTCTTCTAACCTAACAGGATTAGGATTAAAAGTGATTTTAAAAAAAGAATTCGTTAACCACGGAAAAAAACCAACAGAAACTCATTAAAAAATTCATTAACCACGGAAAAAAGCCAACAAAAACCAAAAATTCATTAAAAAAACAATTCTCAAACACTATTCAAATGAAATTTAAAAATGTGTATCTCATCATTTTTTTTGTCTTAATAAATCCAAAATCTAAACATTAAGACTAGGAAATTAGGAGAGACAATTTGATTATGATCTTTTTTATAATTACAAAATTGAACTATTTAGATTGACGAGGTGAACTTAAAATAAAGGGTAAATTACCGCAAATCCTACTTAAATGAGGAGAATTCTATTTAGTTTTACAATCTTTTGTGTACTCTTAAAAGACATGTATGGATTTTTCTCCTCTTTCTCTACTTCTTCGTTGCCTCCTCCTTCTTCTTCTTCTTCTTTGCAATTCATTTTTCTGTTTCTCTTTTTGATATTTGACGATTGGCGATGACCATACTTTCATTCTTCTCTTTCTCTTGCTGATATATAGTCACCAATTACCACCATTGATATTGATGATGAAGGAGGTGAGTTTTCGACGAAAAAGATGAGTAGATTTACTCAGATTCGATAGTACATCAAAACTGGCTAGATTTAAATAAAAAATAGTTACTAGAGTACAATCCCCTCTTTATATCTGTCTCATTCGATCTCTCGGTTTTTTTTTTCTTCTCTGCTACACTAAACACTTCTCTTTTCTTGTTTCAATGGAGAAAATTTTCAAGTTCTGACCAAGTTGTTTTCGAGTTTTAGTTACAGACTATGCTTTAGAACTATAAAATTTTACAGTTTCATAACATATTTTTCAGTTTGATTAATAAGGATAAATGCTTAATAGAATCATACATTGGAATTGTAACAATTTTATAGTTTTAAAGCTTGCTTTGCAGTTTGATCAATATTGGAGATTATTTGCTTAAACCATATAAAAATTAAAAAATAACATATATTTTTTTTTCCATTGTTACTCTTTGTTATTGTTACATTTTTCTCCCATTCAGTTTATCAATATTTAGCACATTTTGCTAAATTTTTACTTTAATTTATCCATTTATTCTTGTTTTTTTTGACAATATTTTGGATATTCTGGCGAGTCTCTGATGATATTTTTGATATCTAGCGAACGTTTTGGACATTCCCGTGACTTTCAGTGACATTCAGAACACTCCAGCGACTTTTCGGTGATGTTGAATATTCTAGCGAGTCACCATTGGCGACGGAAGTCTGGTGGGTAGGATGTAACATCTTCAAATTAAAAAAAAAAGGTCATTAATAATTAAAAATATTTAAACTAATTGATACAAATATTTTATTTTGAAACTATATAAATTTTAAATTTTCTATACGAGACCCATTGATAAATTCTCCTCAAATAAGCTCATAATGGTTAAAGTAGGCGCTACAGTCAAAATAGTAGACAAAAAGGAACCCACATCCGTATCTGAAATTACAAGCTCAAGCCTGTAATAGTGTAATGATGAGCAAGGTACAAGCTCAATATATTCAACCAATTTTCCCAAGTTATATCTTCCCAAGCTCAATGTATACTGCTGTGTGTTAATCTGATGACTGCTGCTGTGAACCTGCTGTGTGTGTGATGCTGTAAGTGGGCTAATCTGTTGGTTCCTGTGGGCTAATCTGTCAGTCCCTGTGGGCTAATCTGCTGCTGTGAATTCTGCTGTGTGTATGCTTCTGTAAGTGGCTATCTCTGTAACAGAGGGGTGTGCTAATCTGTCACTCCCTGTACACTCTAACGACTTTTCGGTGATGTTGAATATTCTAGCGAGTCACCATTGGCGACGGAAGTCCGGTGGGTAGGATGTAACATCTTCAAATTAAAAAAAAAAGGTAATTAATAATTAAAAATATTTAAACTAATTGATACAAATATTTTATTTTGAAACTATATAAGTTTTAAATTTTATATGCGAGACCCATTGATAAATTCTCCTCAAATAAGCTCATAATGGTTAAAGTAGACGCTACAGTCAAAATAGTAGACAAAAAGGAACCCACATCCGTATCTGAAATTACAAGCTCAAGCCTGTAATAGTGTAATGATGAGCAAGGTACAAGCTCAATATATTCAACCAATTTTCCCAAGTTATATCTTCCCAAGCTCAATGTATACTGCTGTGTGTTAATCTGATGACTGCTGCTGTGAACCTGCTGTGTGTGTGATGCTGTAAGTGGGCTAATCTGTTGGTTCCTGTGGGCTAATCTGTCAGTCCCTGTGGGCTAATCTGCTGCTGTGAATTCTGCTGTGTGTATGCTTCTGTAAGTGGCTATCTCTGTAACAGAGGGGTGTGCTAATCTGTCACTCCCTGTAGGCTAATCTGCTGCTGTGATTTTTGCTGTGTGTATGGTTCTGCGAGTGGTTATCTCTGTTGGTTCCTCACCAACAGGGTTTTGGTTTGGTGATGCCATGTGATGGCTTGCATCTTTCCTCTCTTTTGTTGATGTTTCTTCCTTCTTGTAAGGTTTCCATCATCAATAAAGGGATCTTTGTTGTTGATCAAAAATATCTTCCTTGAATAGGTCTGAGGCCTCTTCCTATTTCCAACAGAAACAATTTACAACTCCATTGAGAGTGCAATTCTAAGACCTAATTTTCCATGTCTCAAAACACAAACAAAGATTCTCAGTTTCACAAAAACAAAAAAGGCTCCCTATTTTTGAAAGCAAAAGCAATCCCCCATTTCACGTGCAAGTTTCCATATATTAAAACCCCCTTCTTCCTTAACTTTATCCCACTTGATCAGTCTTCTCAAAAGCCATGCTTTACTACATAATATACTTAAAGAAGCCATTAAGACTGAATAAAAAAGACCTATCTCACTCTCTTCTTTCATGCTACTCCTTTTGACCATCCTTGAACCCTAAAGAAATGGGTCAATGGTGGTTTTGTAAGATAGTTCTTCTGTGTTTAGGTTTAGGGTTTTTTTCAGTGTTGAGTGGTGATGGTGGCTGTGTTGATGGATACCCGGTGGAGGATCTGGTGGTGGGATTGCCTGGCCAGCCAAAGGTTGGTTTCAGGCAATATGCCGGCTACGTTGATGTCAATGAGGAGTCAGGGAGAAGCTTGTTTTACTACTTTGTTGAGGCTGAGGAAAATGCTGATAGTCTTCCCCTCACTCTCTGGTTGAATGGAGGTTGGTTAATTTGTTTCTCTTGCTAGTGACTTCCTTTTGAATTTAGTGCAATTCTTTCTTTGTTATGATGGTTTTGTTTTATTTTATTTTATTTTATTTTATTTTCTCTCTTTTAAGTTCTTTAGGAATATGGCATCAAATGCATGGCAACATGTCTTATATATTTCGTCTGTAACTATAATGAATATATAAACATGGAAAATACTATTCATACACATTTTTTATACCAAAATTCTCGCCAGAATGCTGTGACTATGACATTACTGTAATTAAATATTATTTTAGTGGCATAAAATTGGTTTGGTCGCCAATTTTAGTCG